AAAGCAGACAATTTTTACTGAACAGACCACTTGCCCATCTAAAAGTTGTATATGCTAAAATTATAGTATGCACCCTAGGGTGGTCCTTAAATCTAGGAAGCAAATTTTTGCATCTGATTTTGGTCCCGATTTAAGTCGGTTAAGGCGTATCGCACAGTGGTCAAAGTTCAGAATACCCTATTAAGACGTCCATAAACCTAGCTGACCCAAGTCGCCAAAAATCAATAAAAATTAGCTAGGAATTAGGTGTCTTTTAGGTGTTAATTAGGGCCTCCAAAATTAATTTAGGTGTTCCTTTGGTTTCCGAGAAATTCGCAAAAATGGGTGGGTCAGCTAGGTTTATGGACGTCCTATTAAGACGTCATAGACGACTACAATCGGGACCAAAATATGAGATATCTTCGACTACGGCGGAATTTTAATTCTTTGAGTCTCGATAGAGTAATCTGTACTTTGCCCCTTGTGCGACACGTCTTAACCGTCTCCAATCGGAACCTAAATCCGTATGTGATATCTGTGACTGATATTCCGTGGTATTACTGACTGAGGGGGTGAGACTGAAAAAAAATTGTTCTTATGACCACCCTAATGCACCTACTGTGCACACCCTAATGTACCTACTGTGCACACATTTTTAACTGTCTACTTAAGTATTTGTTCTTTTAAACGTCACCGCCTTTATTAAGGGATCACAAAGCAAACAAGGCAAATACTTACATATGTAGTTATACGCCATACTATCGCAATCTAAATACATACCTTAAGTATTTAGAACATACACAAAAAATACTATTTACAACACTTTGCGTGCAAACGTATATACATGTGTACATTTCTACTACCCTCCAGTAATAAGGCGGACAATTTTCCGAAAAGCACCAGTAACTCACCGGTTAAAATTTGACCGGTTAGAATTGGAAGTTTGTTTGCATCAAAAATTTTAGCTTGCGATCAGTCCCTAAGGAACCGTTCTAGCGTTCTAGAGATAGACAAAATATGAAACTCTAACAGCTTTATACATACATAATTTAAAATTTTTGTTTCTTCAGCTTTTCTTTATTACGAAAAAGCATCCGCGAAGTACACAACGAAATCGTATTCAAATGAAAAAATGTATTAAAACTAAAATCTAAATGAGCTAGTACAAAACCAGATAATAAAGAAAACTAACCACAATAGCACATCTTACGGTGAATTGTTGGACCGGTCCTTTTTTCCAATGACACGCCAATGTTAAAAATTACAGTTGAAACAATTGGCAGGGGAATTATGAGGGACTAGTACTGGTAACAATATGGACTATCCGAGGTTAGCAACCTAGGGTGGGTCTGAATTGCTACAGGGTACATACATTCATACATGCATATATAGTATAACCATGTACACGTTCATTCGTTCATACTTTATGTTCACATTCGCGCAATTCGACCCACACTTGTCAATTCAAAGTGGCCTACTCGCAAAAAATAATTACATATAACAAAAATGAAAAACAACGCATGAAAAGATAAGAAGAAACTAAAGCAAGCAAGCGTGCAACTGTTAGCAGGTAATTCAAATAATTCAACTGCTGTCAGGTCAGTTTCGGCGATTGTACGATTTGTTTGCGGGCGGAACAGGTTCGCCTTCGAAACCCACTTCGATCTGCCTTCCATTGCATGTTGTGCATTTTAAGGCTAAAAATAAAAATTACCACTATCCGGTCAATACGATTAGGAATCCCAGAACAATCCGAAGAATACGCGCCAACTAATTACATAACTATTAGGAAACAAAATGCGAGAGCAAACAAATGATTTTAAGTTTGCCATGTGACATCTCAATCGATCGCACAAAATTAAAAAAAAGTACGCATGTAACAATTGAATATCAATATTATTATGTATGTACATACATACATACATACATATCTACATAGCAGCAGAGTTGAAAGCTGGAGGGCCTAGGTAGAAGCACAGTGCCGCTACTTCCGTTAGTTGATGCTGCATTTTCTCCCCTTAGCACTAAGTCGAAATACTGAAACGTCCTCGTGGAACCCACTAAATCATTATATTTCATTGTCATTACTCTCTACATCTTCAACCAGAACAACTGTATATTTTACAAAATATTGTAGTTATACTATTAAACAACACAACATATATGTATGGTAATTTTGTCATGTAAATGTTAGACGAAAATTACGGCCCACGGTGTCCAAATCCGCGGAAATAAAAATAAACGTATGCACAAATGTATGTAAGCACACACAAACAAGGGAGTGTATTTTAGTACACATACAGACAGTGAATATTTCAAGTGCACTTGCGCAGACCCAAATCGAAAAGTGCAATTAAATGGAACAGGGAGTTGCTATGATGGAAGCGTACGCAAACACAATCCCAAAATAGAGTTGTATGTATGTAAAAGCTTAAACGGACGGCAGCGTTGATCCGGATTAACTCGGGCTTAATCCGGATCAACTGCAGTTAATTCCCGAATTGATCCGGATCAACGCTGCCCTCTGTTTATGCTTTAAGTCAGTCAAAGCGTTGCAAAAGCCTTAAATATACAAGCAACAAACTTAAGGTGATGCATAAATACATAGGAAAATCAACTTTTTAAAATGTTTGCGCTGCCTCCCCCAGGACATAGGAATATCGAAAAGGAGACTCGTATTTTTTATTTTGAAATTGGTAAATATTTGACCGTGCCGTTACATGGAGGATTTTTTTTTTCGTACAATTGCTATAAAATCGTTAAAATTAAATATTATTAATTATTAGCAAGCTATCTGAAAAATTAATATATGGGTGTCAGATGAAAGATTGCTAAGAAACCTATTTAATATATTACTGAGGAGTTTTACAAGCGTTAAAAATTAAATTAATTTAATTTAAATGAATTACTATAATATGGGTATTAACCGAAAAGTTTTTGATAAATGTTTTAGTTCTAAACAACCTGTTTGAAAAATCAAATTCTTATTGAATTAAAGACATGTGATAACTGGAATATGTATCAGAATATGGACGCCAGACAAGAGGGATTTAATAGGGTTTTAGTAGGAAAATATTACGAAGAGGGTTGCCATCTGTTTTAAAAGTCGAGTTTAAATTAAAAATGTTCAGCTAGAACATGTAGAGTTTTCTGAGGTTTTTGAATAGGGTTGCCACCTGTTTGAAATCTAAGTTCAAATACAATTATATCATAAGTTCAATGAGTTATTACAATTAGCATACATATTTATAGCAACGTAGCCGCTACAACAACAACAACCCCACATTTTTGAAAATTCAAATTCAACTTGAGTTATAGGAATTAACGGTTTAAGAAGTAAAACTAAAAATTTTCAATCATTTCCATGAATTATTACAATAGATATAGGTTTTAACCGAAGTTATTTTTAAATGGCTTAATTTGTAAACTACATTTCATTTCATTTGCACAATAAGATCAAAAGAAAGATATTTATAGCGCAACAAAAAAATCATAACAGTACATATGTATGTACATATAACTAAAACAGCAAAAATTACTTAAGACTAAATAAAAGTAACACAATATAATTAACAGAGTAGTATTTTTAAGTGAGTTCTACAATTCCAGGACATATACTCAAAATAAGACTTAATTAGACAAGTACATAGAGAGCACATCACAGGGACTGAAGTGAAGCTAACGGAAATACGCATACAGAACATTTTTAGAGTTGCTTTTGTTTAAGCTACTGCGAATATGGGATGGAATAGAGTTCCAGATGCGGATAGCATTGGCAAAGAATAGCCGTGCAGAGCTGAGATAATTGTAGGTAGGAACAGTCAAGTCCTTTACTCGAGTGGATTTGGGGAACGTTAATTTTTCATATAGATATGTACATGTACATAAGTATGAAAAAGTCTCACAAGAGAGGTTTAAAAGACAGTTTTAGTTTGAAAATATTTTGAAGATATTTAAAAAATTTTAAGTCTCCTGATTTTAAGTATGTTGATTTAATTCAAATAAATTACGACCTTATGTAGCACGTAGAAATCTCATAAACTCAGCGAAGCGGGTGAGAGTGATCTAGTCGTTCCCACGACAGTCGGGTCTACGTAACCGGAACGACCCAGATTTATATCTGGCCAAGGACTGTCACTCCAGCAACACTCCCCAAAAAGTCTTTGGGGAGTTTGTATGCTGTTACAACAACAACAACAACAACAACAGAGTGATCTAGTCTTAAAATATATGCAATGTGGTTGTTCCCGCTGATTAGGTATTTCATTGATTCTTACAAAGAAGTTGGAAACCATGTGCCTATGTACTTATTTAAAAACATCATTAGAGTCTGGTAATGTTTACGAAGATATCAACATTCATACATATGCATCTAATACGGGAAGACTGATATTCTAAAATATGTATTTACATACTACAGCCTTAAAAGGATTTACTTTTCTGAAATGCAAATAAAAATTGATTTTCTGAATTGCCGCGCTTTACGTAAACCTAGCTAAACCTAGCTGACCCACACATTTTTGCGAATTTCTCAGAAACCAATGGAACACCTAAATTAATTTTGGAGGCCCTAATTAACACCTAAAAGACACCTAATTCCTAGCTAATTTTTGATTTTTGGCGACTTGGGTCAGCTAGGTTTACGGACGTGGTAGCACCCTTTATATTCACCATCTCAGCCATTTTAAATTGTTTACTTGTTTACAGTTTTGTGAAAATAGCCAAAAACCGATGTAATGGAAAGCCAACCCATCAATATATATATTTTTTTTCGGGTCGATTTTCACCAAAATTTTCCCGCCTGCGCTGCCCATCACTGATTTAGATACATATTCGAATTTGCGGATGCCAGGACTATCCGTAGTCAAAAATCAGATTGAATATCCCAGCCCTACTTTCCATCAATATCGTTTTTGATTTTTGTTTTCATCAAAAACCTTCCAATCAGCATTTTACTTTTTATAAACATTTCAAATTAGTCCAACTGATCCATAATTTCCCTCATACATCTATGTACATACCTGGCAATGCTGTTTTTTTTTGCAGTCTCGTTCTATCCGGCTCATTCGCTTTTGTTGTTTCTGGCGATTCCGTTGTATTGTTGTTAGTGCTGTATCCTTTGAACAATCCTGTCGATTAAAGCGAAAGGATGTATGTATGTAGGTGCTTCCAAGCGTCTGATAGCAAATTAGAATGTCTATCCGTCCAATCACAGTGGCTTCAGTAAAGCCAGTTCCACAAAAAACTACTTGAGCACTAGAATTAAAATTTCACATTATCCAAGTTCTCTTTGAGAAACGTGTCCACAATTTCCTTTTTTGCCAAGCTCGTCTCGCAAAAAGCGCTGGAAATATTCATTTGACAGAGACAATGGACAGAGCCTTCTTCAACACAAAATCTTTCTCAAATTTCTACTTCGAAATTTCTTTACACTTTAAATATTTATTGCCGATTTTCATAATTCAAGTAGTACTAGTAATTTGCATCCGAGCTATGTGTAAAATTCACTACGGCATGTACACCTTTTTCACACAATTTTCCATTTCCAATGGCGTAAAACACTTTTCCACAATTTCACTTTGTCTGCTATTCGTAGCCCACAGAGGAAAAAATCAACGGATAGCGGAACCGCGAATACAACGAGCGCGCACAGCTGCCATTTTACGAATAACAAGCGGCTAGAAAATTGAAAACACAAATGCCAAAATCCAAAGAACGTAAAAATAGAGATGGAAGGCTATCGATGATGCTGAATATCGATATTTGCAGCAAGTAGCGTAAACAGAGAACGTTAAACACCTTAAATGTAAAACGTTAAATCAAAGAACGTAAATCTATTTATTTATGTATTTATTTATGTAAATTTATTTATTTATGTATAACAACTGAGATAGAAAAATAAAAAAGTGCTTAATCTTTACATTGCTATCTTCACCTGATCATTAAGCTATGCAGGCCGATTCTGAACAGCAACTCCCCGGGTGTTTTCTCTCTTTTCCCTTTCCTCCTATCATGAATAAAAATTTCATGAGAATTTTAATATTAAATGGCGAAGTTGAGCTCTCAAGAAAGTGTCAAACAGCTTTTTCGAAGTTCGAATTCCTCCTCCCAAATTTTCGGGTAAAATGCTATGTTTATAATTGGGGGATTTCTTTCTCGGGAGAAACAAATTCCCGGAGAACAAACCTCCCGGTAGTATTCACCCTCATTGCGAGAGTCGTGTCGAATGCCAGTCGTTTTTCGAGAGTCGAATCGTATCGAAAATTGCACGTCATTGCCTAAAATTTCCACTCGACTAGTGTATTAAAACGGAAAAACTTGGCAGCACTGTAGTTTTCGACGATGTTGGTCGTTTACTTATTTCATTACGACAATAGACAACGCTACTGTTGTCGAGCCGTACAATTTAACCTAATTTACGACCTACGCAATGAGGCTGTTTAAGAATTGACCTCATAAGCTTACAAAGGAAGTATTAATTGAAGTCCCACCGATGCACCTGCTGCTCTCGGAAGAAATATACATTAAAAAAAAAAATAGGCCCGTTTTTTATTGACAGAACTTCTGCCAGTTAAATGTCGCTTAGAGATTTCTCCATGGAATATGGAGTACTTAACTAAAACTCATTGTTAATGAAGAAAAAATTATATATTTTTATTAGATTAATTATCTTTTAAATAACATCCATATACATTATTCTTGTTCTGTCTTCCATTTGATATCCCGTTTGTGTTGAACAAATAACAAAAAAGCTTTTGCGTATTAAAAATAACTTAAAAGTACATATAGCGTTTCTATACACATCACAAGCAGCAAACATGTCTATGGACCTGTGGCAAGTGCTTATCTTTTGAAAATATACATATGTACATACGTATGTATGTAAAATTATTGCCTACAAGTTAACAATATTTTGTACATTACAAATCCATACTCCTGGTCAAGGTTTCGGAAACTATTCCCGCGATCAAGTAACATAGTCATGAAGCGAAACCATAAAGTCAATAAAGCGGAATTATTGTACATGTAAATTTAAGAAAAAAAGTATCATACAAAATTTTTAAGAATGTTTTTTTTTTTTTATTTAAGTCGCACTTGTGGTAGACATCTACACATGTCGAACCGCCAACTTGAGTTGTCCCTTTGGAGCAAGTACCAAGCGTGTGTTGTCGTAAACTAGTGGAATCGGAGTTTCTGGACATGGACTGAAACTGAAGTCACGCAACAATGAGGCGAGCCCAACGAGCATTTGCATTTCGGCGAATTTTTGCGCCAGGCAGTATCTCCTACCGACTCCGAATGGCAGAAAAGCCATCGGATGACGTCTCTTCACATTTTCCTTATTAAAACGTTCTGGATCGAACTTGTTTGGCTCGGGATAAAGTTCAGGATCACGGTGTATCGCCGCTACAGGAATAACCAGATGATTGTCTGTGCATAGCATGAAAACGGAGTTTGGAACTTCGTAATCTTCGTTGGTATTCCGCAACAAAAAGGCATAGGGCGTATGTTTGCGCAGGGTTTCTGGAATGAGCAAGAAATTTTATAATAACGACCATGATACAAATATTTAAAGGTAAAACCATGATAAAACTATTTAAATATTTTATCTTGACAACGGCTTGTACAAAATTCAAACTTGTATCCGATGTCATAATTTATAAAGCGATCAGAAGACTTTATATAAAACTGTATCTACCTGATTTGAAATTTTATGCTCTTTATGTCAAAAGTGGGGTATCCAACTTTAATTAGATTACGTCCAAACGTACAAACTTTTTAAGTTTAAGAAGAGATTATATTTAAGCTCACCGTCTAGGCATTGTTTCAGCAGACGCATCTGCTTCAATTTCGCGTTGTCCATGCCATTTTCATTTTGCCTGCATACACCGCGTATCTCTTCACGTACCAGACGCTGTAAATCCGGCTGAAGCGCCAATTCGTACAAACAGAATGTCATCGCTGAGTTGCATGTCTCCAGGCCCATCAAAATAAATGAAAAAGCCTGTGCTGCTATTTCTTCGTCACTCAAACGCCTTTCCGGATCTCGATGTCGTTTTAGTTCAGCGAACATTTGAAAAAAACTATTTCGGTTATCTATGCGACTCCACTCTTGCTCAAATAGCTTCTGCCGCACCAGCTTGAGAAAGTAGTCGGTGGCAGCTTGTTCATAGTTCTTGTAGCGCAACAAACGTGCTAAATTTGGAAAGTACATAAGGAAATATAATCGAAACATATTGAAGTCTTTGAGGTAACTTCGCGCCATGTGGCGGAATTCTGTATCGGTGTTTAGTAGTGTTTCGCCACTTATACCGAAAGCCAATGTTGAAATTACGTCGATATTGTAGCAGTCCACTAGTTTATCTATTGGTACTGCATTAGGTGGCTGCGATTGTGTCAAAGAGCGATGCATGGTAGCCGCAACCCTTTCCAAAGTGGGTAGCATCTGAGATATACGCTCCTCTTCAAATGTTGGACATACAGCGATGCTTAAGCGGTGCCACGCCGCTCCATCTTGTTGCAATAAATTTGCAGAAAGCGGATCATGCGGGGCATTGCCGAATACGCCACGCTCCCTGAAGTTGTCAGAATGTGTTACAAGTACATTCCGCACCAACTCCAAATCTAATACTAGAACCATTGGTTTTAAGTATGCATAACAGCCTATGAAGGGGGCTTGTCCTTTGTACTTTTCGTATATTTGCTCGAGCACAGCGCTGATGTGACGTTTGGTTCCAACACCTCTTAAATTGCCCACCAAGAATTTCGGCTTCTCATGTAAAATGCCACGCCGTTTCCAGTGCGATAGGCTTGTCTTGACGATAAAATAGAAAATGGAGACAACACTCAGAGCGGTGCATAATAAGCGTTGGAGAAATTCCATTTTTTTTTGTATTACTGTAAGCCGTTTTGGGCTTCAATTCAGTTGATTAATAAATACTTATGTATGTAGGTGTTTAGCTGTTAGTAAAATTTTACATGTCGAATAATGTCTTTTGTTTATGATTGCGCAAGCTAACTTCGCAACACCCATTCAGGAGCGATCAGCATGCCCATGGGCTTATGTACGGACTGCTAGTGCTTATCGCAGTCATTTCTTAAAATTCTCTCGTTCTTTTCGTTATCAATGGTTACAACAGCTGGGCCCGATATGCATACGTGCTAAATGTTAAAGAAATTAGAAGAATGCAATGAGTCATATTAATAAAAAAAAAACAAATATGTGTTGATAGCTCCTTCGACATGCAAAACTCCAAAAGTTTGTATTTGTAGTGAAAGCAATTCAATTTTATTCAGCAAATGTGTTCTAACAGTCAAAAATTCGCTAATGAATTTCAACACTTAATAGATCAATAATACAAATACATAGTACATGTGTATGTATTTATTGTCCAGGTGTTTTCGTTCTTTGACATCTTTTCATTTAAGTTGGGGTAAACAAATATTATAGAAGGAACTATCAACAAACTCCGAAGTGTGTTGCCAACGTATGTAGCCGCGATCAACTAGCTCTTGCACAGATTCAGGAATGCCGACAAAGTGGGGATCCTGAAAGAGGAATTATAAGGGAGTAATTAATATAGAAACTAATTCAACTGTATATAGACATTTATAAACTAAAAAAGGGGAGACATTTTAAAACTCATAAATGTGTATTTTAACTTTGGCAACAGGCGATTAAAAATAACTTAAGCAATGTAGGTATTTTCATGTATGTATTTTCGACTTTGACCGCAAAAGCAATCATTTCAGCGGCTTCACTTATTGTTAAATGATTAAAGCATTTTTAAACACGAATTGTTGCGTCGGACTGTGCTGTTCAATTGAACGTGCCAAAGATACACTAAAACGAATGGTGGCAACTACACCGCGATCACCACCACCGCCTGTTAACTAGTTACGCACCATTAAATTTGTTATCAAACCTCTTAATACAAGTTGAACCGACAAGGGCGTTTGCATAATAAACGTCTCTCCATTTCAATACTTTCCCGTTCTTCCCTATATATGTATGTATGCAAATTTTTATGTACGTACATTCATCTACATATCCTTGCAGTAAAATTTAGAGGCAGTCTGGCAAAGCGCTAGTTCCGAACTACATATTTCAGAACTATCTCTGAACTAGGGCAAAACGGGTGCAGAGCGGGACAGTTGAAACTTGCGGAGGGAGTGTAGGTACAAATTCTCGCTTTTCGTACAATACGAAAGTAGCTCAGCGAGAAGAACTTGTACTGAAAACCCATAGTTAAATGATTGAAATGATTCTGAGTTAACTATGCACTGCAAATTTGGCCCTAAACATCGTTGGTCACGAGTTCAAATCGCGGTGGAGGCAGTTGTGAGTTTTCAGATTTAATGAATTTAAATTGTTGCGTGCCGCTTACAATAATTTTTTTTTTAATAAAATATATAACAAAAATGAAATCTGTAAAAGAAAAGAAAAACCGAAAAAATATCCAAAAATCGAATATTAAAAACGTTTTCTTCTAAAAAAAAAATCCAAAACCAACGCGTTAAAAACATTGGGAATTGAGCCAGAATTAGTAGTGTCGGCAAAAGGTCTAGTTCTACGCTAGTTCTGAGCTAGTCAGATTTTCTGCAGGGCTGTTAATAAACACTAATTGAAATTTTATGCCTAAGTACCTACTTACAATGACCAGAAGATAAACTTGATTTCCGCTAATATGAATGCCTGCAAGTCCTTTAGATGCAGCGTCCATGTCGCCACCCATCATAACAAGTCCTCCAAATTCTTCAAAATATTTCTTCAGTACATTGGCGTACTTCTTCAAATCGTCATGGTGTGCAATATGAATGATTTTGCATACAACATCGTACAGCATATCCAAAACATAGAATACTTCGATTGCGCCAATCCAATCGCGTGAGCCCACAAACTCACTGGATTTATCACCAATCTGCACCAGAGTTTGTTGTATCTCTTTAATCGATGGCACCGCTGTATTAGACTCGTTGGCGCTGCGTTTGCCTACGATCCAGGAACAGATGGACTGCAGCGTGCGATAGGCACAACCCCAGCCATTGTCATTGAAACCGTCGCAACCGTAGTGAAAATATACAAAATCTCCTTCTGTATACAAAGTTTCGCAACTGTATCCTAAAGTGCAAGTTACTGACGGTGGTGGCAAATATTTGTGCACGTTGTGAAGGAGTGGATATGGGTAACACTTGCGTGACAGTTGATTGTTTTGTGGGGCGCCTTCTTCCATTTTTTACTTTATTTTGCTTGTATACTCAATATTCGCTATAAATCGCCCACTCGATTTCTATTTTTTAGCTTCTTCAACAGTGTCTCCGTGCTAAGAAGTTTACCTAGCTGCCGCGGCTACATCATACGTTGTCTTTGTCACTAAAAAAGAGACCATATATCTCCCAGTAATAATTTTCTTTGTAAACAAACGCGCCACTTCGCAACCAAAAGCTAAAAATTAAATAAAATCTAGATTTTCTATGCCTTGGATTTTCTGCACCTCTGCCGACGCAGATTCGTATTTTGCTTCTTGCTGCTTTGGGTTTTCTTGTTGTTGGTAACTATGGAAAACTATCGATGGGGCTATCTCGATAGTATCTATGATTTCATTTTGCCGCCTCTATCGAAGTTTTCTAAGGTCGGTGTTATGCAGACAAATTTTGTTTGCCAAATTAAATGGCGGCTGCTTAGTTTGCTCGGAGGTGGTTATGTCGAGTTTGGCACAGGGTTGCACGCTCATTATGGTTTTCATGGCTATTGCCAACACGAAATGAGAATTTTGTGTATAGCAACAATTGTCTAAAATTTTTGTAGTTATATGACAACACCGAATTTGCTGCAGTTTGACCAAACAAAATTAGTTTGCTGTGAGAGTCGCCAAACTCGCTCTCTCCGAGTTTGCTGCAACAACAATTGCACGCAGTTTGCCAAACAAAATTTCTGCATAACACTGACCTAAGTGCTCATTTACAGTAGCTACACACGACGAGCATATCCGCGCACATGCGCACATGCTCGTCGTTTGTAGGGCGGTTTGCGCGCATGCTCGCCAAAAATCAAAAAATTTTGATTTTCAGCGAGCATGCTCGTCGTTACGTAGAGTAGAAATAGGGGGACACATACACACGGCGATTTTTGTCGCCGCAACTCGACGTTTGTTGGAGAGAGCGTGACGAGGAAAGGAGAGGGGCAACGAGTTGCTCGTGCTCGGGCAACACGCTTTGTGCTCTCGTTCGCCTGTGTAAATTGAACCCCTGTTCACAGCTGACAACAACAATTGCATACACACAAATCGCCGTGTGTTAATGAAACGAGCAACACCAAAAGGGAATGTGAAAAATCGCGTCGACAAAAGTTTCCGTGTATAAACACAGTTTAACACTATCGATGGTTGTATATTTTTCTAAACACTATCGATTGTTGTATATTAGGGGTTTCCCTTAACCTCGTAAAAGCCCCGCACAGCTCGTAAATTTACGAGCATCGTAAAAGAACTGTCAAAATTTGTATGGAGCTTTATATACAAACCTCTCATAAATTAAAAGGCGAATTTGATGCGTAAACGACCTCGTAAACTTCACTGTCGCCGAGGGGCCGAAATTTTTATACTAAAATGTATGATAAATATCATCCACTAACTTTATTGACTTACTTTTTCTGCTAATTTTCGGAATTTCTAATTGTATTTTAGCCAAGAGTGATAGACACAAGATGGCGGGATGTAATGAAAAATACTACGAAACAAAAATGGCTTCACAAAATCCTGGTTGATCTGTCAAACAGTCCACTTATTTACATCTTTCACAAAGGGGGCATTTCCATAAAAGCCTCGTCAATTTACGAGTTTTACACGGTTTAAGACTTAACGAGTTTAAGGGAATCCCCTAATAGCTCAAGTCACTAGAAGTATGTTCACATATAAATATTATCTCAGTCAAAGCTCGTTTTTTAATCACCCCGTTTACACAGGCAAATCTCAGACCACTCAGGTGTTTTGGAGCCGTCAGTGTACCACTGTATTGTGCTCGCCTGTATGTGCCTTTCCATAATAGATGTACACCAGGTGGCCTTGCTTTAAGTGTAGGTCCTGAAATTCCTTTTAAAGACAACCTGTCTGTTGATATCGTCCCTGGGAAACAAGGCCAGGGAGAGCTGGGTACCTAGCTTGTGCCTGTTTCTAGATGATAACACCTTGCCTTTGCCGAATCCCTCCCTCGCAAAGTTAAGGAGGGTTCGCTTTGCAACCTGTTCAACTGAGAGATGCAGTGGTTCGAGTTCCAGCATTACCACCAGCGCTGCCTTCAGGCATGTGCGCATTGCTCCCGTAATGCAAACACATGCCAGACGTTGAAGCTTAGGGAGGGTTTGCCTCACCGCTACCATAGTAGTCCTGGAAAACCGCGTCATAAGTCACTATAGGCCTCACTATCATGGTGTACATCCATCCAGACGTTTGCACACTATCATCGCTCTCGTAGCCTTAGAGGTGACCGAATCAACATCCAGTAATCTCTCTTACCTGCCTTCGGGATAAAGATAACCCTGGCCCTCTGTCACACCTTGGGAATGTGGGCCAGTGCTAGACTGTTCCTCATAATATCCACAAGATGTGGAAGTAGGAGCTCCCCGCCCTGCTTTAGCAACACCGGACATATACCATCCACCCCAGGGGCCTTGTACCGTTCGAAGGAGTCCAAAGCCCACCGCACTGTTTGGCGGTTTACAAGGCTTTTAGCCAGCTTCCAGTCCGGTGTCGATGGCCTGAACGCACGGAACATCGCTTCCCCGGCGGTTGGAATGGCGTCCGGAAAGTGGGACGACAGCAGGGCAGTACCTGAAAAGGTCCCATTAGGTAGCCTAATAGCGAATCTGGTGCCTGTGTTGTCCCTTGCCAAAGCTTTATGAAGTCTAGCAGCTGCAGGAGTGGATGCGATGTTCTCACAAAAGGTCCTGAAGCCGCTACGCTTGGCTTTTCTAATCTCCTTATTGTACTTTGTCAGACTGACTGAGTATTCCTCCCAGTTCCCCGTGCACTTTGCCCTATTGAAAAGTCTGCGCACCTCCTTCCTAAGAACCGAGAGTTCCCGTGACCACCAGGGAGACTGAGCCTTCCGCTTAGGCTTTGACACGGGACAGCTGGACGCAAAGGCATCTAGAATAGCGCCGTTCAGCCTATTAACCCTGTCCTCTAACGCCATACAATCTACTTTTCTTTGCTGTACCTCTATCCTAGGTAGGTTCAGTCTAAGTACCTCTTCATATTTGACTCAGTCTGTTTTCCTGGGTTTCTCCTGGGGTAACCTCTCTGACAAACAGCTCCCAGTGCAAACCGGACAATCCTGTGATGCGACAGTGAGGGCTCAGATAAGACTGAACTCACCGGAGCTGGGGCCTGTGCCGGTTCTATTTGCTGGTTGGCTGGTACCTGCGCCGGTTCTGTCAGCAGGTTGACTGGTAGGGCCGTGGTCGACTCGGTCTCTGGCGCAGCAGTGGAGTCAGTTGCCGCGTCAACACACATGTCTTGCGACTCCGACTCCTTGCTGCTTGTCCACTTTTGCGAATACAACCCCTGATTCGAAGAACCGAATCGTTACTCACATAATAATCTCGTTACTCACAACACAACATATTGTGCGGGAACGAAATTGTTTTTCGTATCGATACCAAAGTGTGTTGCGTGTATACATATGTATATATGTATTGTAGTAGCGTTGTATAGGCTAGCTTAAGTAATAGATTAATAAATCATGTAAATCATTGTAATAGTGTAATAGTCCCTTTAGCATATTTTTAGTACACGAATAGTGTAACTAGACCTTAAGATATAGTTATAAGACACCATCTTGTGAAAAGAAAAGAATAAAAGAGGACATTCCAATTTGAGCAGCGAAAGGAGAAGGTGTTTTATTTAAAACCGGCTACCACTTTATTAACTTAAACCTGTACATTTCAGTAGGTAAAGTATGTACGAGTAAATTAACGATACGAAAGATACGGGTGTTGATTTGATTAGTAAAGAATACATACGGGTATCCAAATTTTCGTTACTTTTACAGCTGTAATGTTGAATCGCCTAGAAAATCGCCTCTTGTAAATGCAGCTTAAGGGAAGACCCCTTTGGAATTTCAGTTTACAGAAAATATCGATGCATCGACTATTTATACATCGAGTAGAAAAATTTCGAAGCAGAACATCGATATTTTTTCAGCAATCCAAATCTAGATTTGTTGGAAATACTGCGGGTGTGTCGGAACTGTTCAATTCTAAAAAGAATATGGAATTCTTTGAATTCGAGTATATAAAGGGATTTCGGTCAAATAGTATGTTGCTATACACCAAAGATGAAAAACAAATTTATAAGAAAACGAATTTTTACAACAACGGAACCAGATATGTGTGCTATAGCGAAAACTGTGGTACAAGTGTTTTCGTTGATGAAAATGAAAGATGCAGGAGATTAAAGAATTCACAATCACATAACCATCCTACTCAAGAGATTCTGAAGGATAAAATGGTCATCAGTCAAAACATTAAAGAGGCGTGTAAAAACGCGTCTTCAGAAAGATGCTCAGCTCGAGCTATTTTTGATGAGGAGTGCCGGAAGGCAAATAATTCTGCTCATTTAGTCAAATACACGCAGATGCAACGCAATCTACGCCGAATAAAGAATAGGGTACCACCACAAAAGCCATCTTCACCTGAAATTGTAAACGATATGCTTTCGGAGGACCCCTTAGTAATAAAGTGCGAATTTACCGAATATGAAGTTAGTGAGCCATCTTACCAAAGCACTATTATAAAACCTAAAAAAAATATGGAATTCTTTAATTTCGAGTATATAAATGGATTTAGGTCAAATAGTATGTTGGTATACACCAAAGATGAAAAACAAATTTATAGGAAAACGAATATTTACAACAAAGGAAGGAGATATGTATGCTATATCAAAAGCTGTAGAGCGAGCGTTTTCATTGATGAATATGAAATATGCAAGAAATTAAACGATTCTCAATCGCATAACCATCCTACGCAGGAGGTTCTCAAGGATAAAATGATCATCAGCCAAAACATAAAAGAGGCTTGTAAAAGCGCGTCTTTAAAAAGAGGCTCTACCCGAGAAATTTTTGACGAGGAGTGCCGGAAAGCAAATGACTCGGCTCATTTACTCCAATTTAAGAAGATGAGACGCAATCTGTTCCGATTAAAGAATAGTGTGCTACCAAAAAATCCTCTGTCACCTGAAAATTTAAAAAATATGCTTTCGGAGGAGCCCATAGTGGCAAATTGTGAATTTACCAAATACGCACCTAGCGATCCACTTTACCAAGACACCATTGTAGAGTCTAAAAAGAAAAGAAAATTTGTTGAATTCGAGTATATAAAAGGATTTCGGTCAAATAGTATGTTGGTATATACCAAAGATGAAAAACAAATTTATAGGAAAAAGTGTTATTATAAAAAAGGAACAAGATATGTGTGCTATAACAAAAAATGCAGGAAGAGTGTTTTCATTGATAAATATGATAGATGCAAGAAATTAAATGATCTGAGTTCGCATAACCATCCTACACAAGAGCTTCTCAAAGATACAATGCTAATTCGCCAAAGCATTAAAGAGGCGTGTAAAAACGCTTCCTTAGAAAGATGCTCTACACGGGATATTTTTGACGAGGAGTGCCGGAAAGCAAATAACTCAGCTAATTTAATCCAATTCGGGAAGATGCGACGCAATCTATGCCGAATAAAGAATAGTGTGCGACCAAAAAATCCTTCGTCACCTGAAAAGTTAAAGAATATGCTTTCGGAAGAACCCTTTGTGACAAATACCGAATATGAACTTGGAGGACCATCTGACAAGGGCACCATTACGGAGTCTAAAAAGAATACAGAATTCCTTGAATTCGAGTATATAAATGGATTTCGGGCAAATAGTAAATTGGTATATACCAAAGATGAAAAACAAATTTACAAGAAAAAGTATTCTTACAACAAAGGAACAAGATATGTGTGCTATAACAAAAACTGTTGTGCGAGTGTTTCTATTGATCAATATGAAAGATGCAAGAAATTAAACGATTCTCATTCGCATAATCATCCTACTCAAGAGCTTCTCAAAGATAAAATGACCATCAGCAAAAATATTAAAGAGGCGTGTAATAATGCGTCCTCTGAAAGGTGGTCTACACGTAATATTTTTGAAGAGGAGTGCCGGAAAGCAAATAACTCAGCTAATTTAATCCAATTCGGGAAGATGCGACGCAATCTATGCCGAATTAAAAATAGTGTGCGACCAAAAAATCCTTCGTCACCTGAAAAGTTAAAAAATATGCTTTCGGAAGAACCCTTTGTGACAAATACCGAATATGAACTTGGAGGACCATCTGACAAGGGCACCATTACGGAATCTAAAAAGAATACAGAATTCTTCGAATTTGAGTATATAAATGGATTTCGGGCAAATAGTAAATTGGTATATACCAAAGATGAAAAACAAGTTTACAAGAAAAAGTATTCTTACAACAAAGGAACAAGATATGTGTGCTATAACAAAAACTGTTGTGCGAGTGTTTCTATTGATCAATATGAAAGATGCAAGAAATTAAACGATTCTCATTCGCATAATCATCCTACTCAAGAGCTTCTCAAAGATAAAATGACCATCAGCAAAAATATTAAAGAGGCGTGTAAGAATGCGTCCTCGGAAAGGTGGTCTACACGTAATATTTTTGAAGAGGAGTGCAGGAAAGCAAATATCTCTGCTCAGTTAGTCCAATTTGAGAAGATGCGACGAAATCTAAGCCTAATAAAGAATAGTGCACTACCAAAAAATCCATTGTCACCTGAAGAATTAAAAAATATGTTTTCGGAGGAGGCAATAATGGCAAAGTATGGATTTTCCAAATATGATCCTGGGGAGCGATTTTACCAAGGCACCATTATAGAGTCGGAATATAGTTTTGCTATATTTATGTCTCCTACAATAAAAAAACTAATCTTAGAAAATAGTCATATAAGGAGAAGTTTTTACCTGGATGGCACCTTCGGTGTAGCGCCATCTTCAACATTTGAGCATCTGATAATAATCCATATCGAATATTTGGATCATGTAAGTATTAGTGTTCTTCTTTATTTGATAGAACATTGAAATGAATTGACCTGTTACAGATTTTCCCTTTCTTTTATGTTATGATGACGAACAAATCACAAGCTGCCTATATTCATATGTTACAATACATTAATACAAATTTGATAGATTTAAATCCAGTTTCTTTCATGACGGACTATGAAGAAGATTTAAGAAACGCTTTAAAAAGTGTCTTCCCTTTGGCTGAATTAAGTGGTAAGTAATATTTTAAATGTGAACGTATTGGCGTAGACTTCGCATTCATTCCTTTTTACTTTTAAAGGATGCTGGTTTCATTATTGCCAAGCAATAAGGCAAAGTGCAAGAGAAATTCCCAATTTTATTGTTGCTTTAAGATGGAACAATGCGCTTAGAAGACTCATGAAGAAATTTATGGCCTTGCCGCTCCTCAAACCAGATATGATAAACACCGCTCTTGGTTTACTCCAGGCAGAAGTAGACAAAATGCCAATGACATCGACTTACTCTACTATTAGTAACGATTTTATTGAGTATGTTAAAAAAAAATTGATAGTAAAGGTAAGGTGACATTGTTTATTTTGTGGTCTTTTAACTAATCACCGTATGTTCACTATAATTGGTCCTATGATCTCATTTTAGGAGGGACCCGAAGGCATTTCTGTCCACAATGCATCTATAAGAACAACAAGTGCTATTGAAGCGTACAATTCAAAGCTAACTATGAAAATGTCGAAAAATCAAAATATTTTTAAGTTCTTGATTGTTTTGCTTGAAGAAGATTTTAAGAAAATTCCTATGTTTAAAAGTGAGCTCGATGGTACATTTAATGTACATGAAAAACTAAGGCCCTGTCTTTATAAAAAACGTTCCAATTTAATACGAAAAATTGTTACAAGCGTTGAAAATGAACAAATTTCTATAACTGATTTCCTTAATAAAATGGCGAATAATCAAATTAACTTGATGGACGAGATATATACAGGGCCCATTTCTGAAATTGAAAACTCAGAAAATGAAACTGGAAACCTAGACAATGAAACAGGAAACTCAGCCAGTGGAACTGAAAACTCAGATCATAAAATTGAGAACTCAGACAATGAAAGTGAAAACTCAGACAATGAAGCTGAAAATTCAGACAGTGAAACTGAAAACACAGACAATGAATGCGACGATAAAGCGTATGAAGCATGTTTGGCAAATCCAATGCCTAGCATCTTTTGCATGGGCGAAGAAAAACCTGGTCTTATACTCCCTTGTAATCATGTAAAGCTTTGCGATCCATGCTTTCATGCTATCAGCGAGAAAGCTAAAGCAGAAAAATGCGCATATTGCAGTGCGATTGTAAGCAACGCGTCAAAGGTTTCCATATAATGTTATAGTTTAATTAAATTTAGTATATCGAAAACAAAAACTCAAATTACTTGATTATAGTTGTTTGTTCATATATTTTTGATACATACTGATGAAATCACATTTTTGAATAATTTATCATTTTATTAATTATATGGTACCTTTATATACACCCCGCGATGGCACATCAATATTTTTACCAGTTTTGACTACTTTTCTTTTGATTTTTTTAAGGTTCCTTATTTTTTTATAAAAGTCTTAAAAAATACCATATAAATCTAAATTTCAAGACTACAAAAATTATAAAAATTCCACAAAATTTTCATCCCAATTTCATGCATTTTAATTTCTAGAATAATTTTTGGTATGCAGTTTTATAGCTTATTAAATTCTAGTTTAATAAAGTGCAAGTTTTAAGTTGCTAAAAAATCGCTTTGATTTTTTATAATTTTTTTTTTTGCTGTCGGTGTCACGCATTTTCTTCCATACAAACGTAGTTTTTTATATGAAAAAGAGTGTATAACACCGTCAGCAAAAAAATTACAAAAATCAACGCGATTTTTTAGAAACTTAAAACTTGCACTTTACTAGCATTTAATACCTGTAAAACTGCATACCAAAAAATATTCTAGTAATTAAAATTAAAATGCATGAAATTGGGATGAAATGTTTGTGGCATTTTTATAATTTTTGTACAAAGTCTGAAATCTTGGTTTTTTACGGTATTTGTTAGATAACGCGCTATGTTTCTATATAAAAATAATGAAACTTAAAAAAATCAAAAGAAAAGTGGTAAAAATGTTAATGTGTTTTCTTTTGTCGCGGGGTGTGCATTACGTATACATATATGCACATATCGTTGCCTCAGAAAACGGATGTCGTATGTTACAAACCACGGTTTTGAGAAAAGTGACTTTGAATTTTTGAAGGAGACGTAGTTTGTATTATTACTTTTTATTTTCCATATTTTTAAATTTAATAACTGTAAACGTTAATGAGAAAATTGACTTTTCATTCCGCATACATTTGTCGTAAGTAGCGCTAACTCACCACTTTGTTTTGTCCATAGAACAAACGACAATATTAAAGTATCTTTATTAACGGCGATGGTACAATTTGATGAAAGCACCAGATATATTTATTAAATAATGGTTACTTATTAGAAAAAACATAACAAAAACATTTACGTGTATTTAATAAAAAATTCTGTACATCTTTTATGCTGTAAATATGTTACGAATATACGTTTTCATTTTGATAAAAACAAACAAAAAAAAACTTAAATTCAGTCTATTGTACATTTTCATTTCTTTCATGGAGACTCAGTGCTAGAGGTATACGCCGCCGGGCCACGCCGCCGCCGCCGCCGTCGTTTTTTGTCATTTCTCACGCGCCGCCGCCGAGTTACGAAAATATCGGCGCGGCGGCGGCGGCGTTCGGCGCCTAGGGAATTTTGTACAAAATTTTCATGTTGTATGCACATTGAAATACATCGTTTGAAGGAACTAAAGACTACTCGTATAAAAGCACTATTTTACGAAATGAAAATTACATTTTTAAAAGATGTTTTTTTGTCATAATTTGGGCCACTGAACATTTAAAAAAAAAGCGTAACTCAGAAAAATATATAGGTAACATGTTTTTCGATCGACAGCGTTTATTACAGTTAAATTAGGGTCGAATAGGGTAGAAAAGTTTTTTTCCTAAGTAGTGGTCAAACCCCAGGAAGGTTTTGCTCCCGCGCATCGCAATATTTTCTACACAGAGTTGAAGTCCCCCTTTTTGGTAAAAATTACTATTATTTTGCATTACATTCCGTTCTCCTTAGAANCTAAATGGCCTTTAAAAAATCTATAAAAATAGGCAATAATATTTCTCATAAAAACGAATCAATTTAGGGGGTAGGGTCTTTAAATTTTTTCAAAAACTCATTTTCAATGGGAAACCATATGTATATACTATATAGACTTTCTTCTGTTCGCCCATCCATCAGCAGCAGTCACTCAACATTTGAATTCAATGAATGAATTAAATAGAATTATAATCTGATGACATGATGAGATTAGAAGCCTCATGGCTCTTTGGACTCTACCTTATGGGCAGTAGCGCCGGCGTTTCCAGACGCGCCGGCGTCGCCGCCGCCGCCGATTCTTTTTGAAGTTGAACACGCCGCCGCCGCAAAGCCTGTCGGCGTAAACCTCTACTCAGTGCAAGCTAAAATTAAAAAAAAAGGTGGTTGTATAGTTTAATTTCCAATTTTAATTCAGTCGTTAAAACAGAGGACCACCGAATTGTCGTAAGTTCAAACTTTTGCGATACATACGACAAATGTCTTATGAATCAAAAAAGATTACATTTGTATGGGAGTTGTCTAATCCCAGTGGAAAAAGGTAATAACTGAGAATGCAAAATGCAAAATGTAATGGAAACTACTTACGAAAAGACGAAAGAATTTCTGCACGGCGATGTCATACGAAAGTAATGTGTAGCATGTCGCTTTACGAAACTATAAATGGAAGTCTCTGAATAGAATGAAAAAAATATATGTATATAAAAACAAATAAAAAATTATAGTTTAAAAAACTAAAACCTCCCTATTATAATTGCCCATTCGTACTGTCATCAGGTATGTAACTTGAGAATAGAAATCGCTGCATCTTTTAGGCGCATCAATATTACATAGTTACATACATCAAGATTCGTTAAGATTTAATTCGATTTTTTGCCGAATTTTCTAAAAAGAAATAAATTACGCATACTTCCATTCTTTTACGAAATTTCGGAAGTGAATCTGTGAAGCAACAAAAATAATGCTGCTATGTGAAGAATATCTTTCAGAATTTTCTTTATTTTTCGTACAGAAATTGAGTTCGTGTCAACCACTTCATATAACTTTCTTTGAAAATTCGGAAAAAATCGTTACAGAAATGAGGTGCTCCTAACGATTTCCTTAAGATTTCGGGAACTTTGGTTTGCAGGGATGTGACCAATTTTACATAAAATAAAAGGCCTACCCAATCATTAATATTATGTATAGTACGACAAAATGCACACGAAATATCTCAAAAACTAAGGGAGATATAAAAAGATGAGGTTATTCACGCTTGCCTGATAATCAGCTTATGTGGTTATATTTTTTATTCAGTTTAGAACAAAATACACTACACAATAATAATTTTTAACCAAATAAGCTGATAACCAGGCAAGCGTGAACAACCTCAATGGATTGCATCTGCGTCAAAATTCCAAAATCTTGATAGTGTACATTCGTCGATATCCGTTTTCGAAGGCGACGATATATATACAGTTCTCCACGAAATAATGTTTGTTAGTTTTTTAAAAAAGTATAGCGCTTGTACAACAAACACCATATAAACTACCACTTCAAACTTTATACAAAAATTATAAAAAAAGTTTCGCCCAAAATTAAAAATCAGAATAATTAGGAAAAAAATGGGTATACACTTTTCAATTATTTTTCTTTTGTTTATTTAATGCCTATTGTTTTTTTTTTTAAGTCTAGCTGGTTGTATATAAATTTAAATTTCAAATTATAAAAATTCTGTAAAGTTTTACCTAAAATTAAAAATGTTTTAATCAGAATATTTAGACAAAATTTGGGTATACAGTTTTGTAGCCCATTACAATCAAGTGCAAGTTTGAAGCTGCTACAAGTTGAATCCAGAACTGCAAATAGACACTTTTTTTTCGAAATTGCGGTTTTCCCAGAAAGTATTAGTATCTACCAAAAACAACGGAGTTACATGCCACTTTTTAAAAAGTCCAACCTGTGTTTGATACTCTTCTTATATATATATATATATATATATATATAGAATTACAAACCACACCATCTTGAATCGCTCCTACAATTTTTAATCGCAAATGTACAAATAAATACCCAACAAGCGTTTCCGTAAGGGTTTTTGAAAGTAACTTCACGTAAGCTAGCTATCCCAGTAGATAATTTCAGGAGTTGAAAGCCCTTCCTGAGAGTCAAGAGGCCTACCACTCTACATTCCTTTCTCTTTTCCTTCTTAGGGCTTCTTCTTTCGCTACCTATGGAAGGCCTTCCAGAAGGGCTTTTATAGTACGTACTTCAGAATGCCTTTTGGAGGAGTTCTTTTAAAGTTGCTTCTTTAATTTATGAATAATTCATACATCTTTGAAATATTTGCTTACGGTTTATATCAAATATGTGTTATTGCAAATTAAAATGTTTATTGAAATTCATTTGTAATGCTAAATAATATAAATTTATGCATTCGCGTAAATTGTAAATTGATAAGCCCTTCTAGAAGGCATGCAAGGAAGCACTTTTTAGCCCTCCTTGGGTAGGCCTCTTAGAATGGTTTTACTTGAGAAGGCCTACCTAAATTATCTTCTGGGATATTAAGTGTTAAATATAGCATTTTAGTAGTAAGTTTATTTTAAGTTTTTGCAAATTTACCTTTTATAAGTGTTGAGAGCGAATGTTTAAAATAAATGCAAATTTTTTGCGACAAAATCAAGAAAAAATACTTTCTTTTGAATTCTATAAAGTTATATTCCTACGTTTATAAACAAGGTGCCGTTTCGTTTATATTATGCAAAATATGCGTTTTGTACATTATTGAAAATACTTATGAAGAATTAAGAAATATGGGATTAAAAGCATAAAAAATGCTAGTCGCAGTTATGGTATTTTCTTGTTGGTTTTTATCTGTGTTATCAGATCGAAATAAAAAATTGTTTGTGTAACTTATTATAAATTTTTAACGAGGATAAAATTTTGTTTTCCAATAATCGCCTATGCATGACCATTTGAAAAACAAGTAATTTTTAAGCAAGAAAAACCGACCTCAATTCCCATATAAAAATTTAAGAGTACCGTTAATTTCTTCATGACCCAATTATCGGATCTAAACCAAATTAGTATGGAACCACTTTTGAGGTACCACCTTTCCTTTAAAAAAAGAAATATATATATAAATCGGTTAACGTGGTCCAAAGCTATGCAGTAACATACATACAAAAAAATATATATATACCGACGAATTGATAACCTCCTTCTTTTTTCAGTCGGTTAAAAACGCCAATAATTCGTAACAATCCGTTGGTCCCTTGAAAAAATTTCGCAACGCAACCTCTTATAAATCGTAATTGGTTGTTGACAGCCTCTTTTAATTCGCAACACAAAGCTATGTCAATTCTGTGCAACTGTACTTCGAACAAGTAAATCTTAGTGGTATAGCGTTCGCGTTTACCATTAACATTTTTGTTTGACATTTTTTATATTTATATTTTCGTGGTTTGGTAAAATCGGTGGGACTTTAATAGTTAAAATTGACAAAATAAACCTACTCAAAAAAATTTATTGAGATAGGAAATGCTTACCTCATTAGGAATTTGCTTCGAAAAAAAAACAAATCAATCAGCTGTTCATAAAAGTTGTAACGAATCGCTACATATGTATGTACGATATCGTATTGCTCGTCACGTAGAAACACATTTTTCGGATTATGACATACGTGTGAAGGTACTCTTTATTCCATTCTGCTTATACGACTCACATATCACGTAATTTGCTTTCGTGTGGTTTTCAATCCATAAACGGATGTTACGATTCGAGCCCAACTTACTACTTTGGAAAGGACGAAGAAATTCAGAATTCACAACAGGGTACTTACTTTTTTTCAAACAATTTTATTTTGTGTTTAAATGTTTAATAATAGTAAATCGTGTAAAACAAAAGTTACATACTTTACAGGGTAGTATTGCATTATGAATATTTTAATTTAGTATCTGTTTTCTTCGCCATTTTTATCTAATAAATATGTATTTATGTGTGAAAATATTGTAGTATTCTAAGTAAATTATTTATTATTTTATTAATAATTCAAATAGGACACTCAATACTTTTTGCTCTTACATTTAAATACTTAGTATTAAATTATAGTTATCTAGAGAATTGTTTAATTATTGGTAGTAAATTAGCAAAAAAGGAAGGGTGTTTGAAATGTGCAATCAACTCTTTTGGTGCAGGTTGCACTAATTCTGGCTGATTGATGAACCAGACGGTCATCGAAGAAAAGTGCTCCGTTTAATAGGTTGATTGAAATTTTTCTTGTAAAAAAATATTTGTTTTTTAAAGTGAGTGAAAGTCAGCCCTATTCTGCATTTCGACTCGAATCGAAATTTTCTCCGTTTGGCAACTTTGGTATTCTGCATTCCGTTTCCTTTCGATCAATCTTCGTAGTTCCGTTTTTCTAAGTTGCAGATTTGTTGACGCGGAACGTTTCGATTGTTGTCTCGAATTAGATTTGCTATGGAAGGATAGGCTTTGTTCTTCCCCTCCTCCTGACGGCTTTCAAAATCGAATTCATTTGCGTTCAAATCTTCCACTCTGTAGGAAATGTAAATGTTGTGGAGTGCGTTTATAATAGTAGCGTTCTTCTACGCGATACTTTGTACCAGTTTGTACTAACTATCACGTTTTGAGTTCAAGATGAATTTCTTATGATTCTTCACTCAACTGAAAAGGATCAAACATGTTCCTAAATCTCCACCTTTCAACTTCCGCCTCAGCAATCTGGGACTCGTTCTCCTCTTCAAGCAATAACGCCGCAGCTATGGATTTCATTCTTATAATTATGTTTCCACTTAAATTAAGAAAAAAACTAAATTTTATTTTTAAATTACAATGATGCTAGACATATTTAGTTATTTTGAAATATTTACAAACTTTAACTTCATAAGCTGCTATAGTTTGGTGGCAAATATTTCTTTTGTCTTGTTTCGATTTCACACATTCTAGGCAACCAGCTGATTGCGAATGTTTTCGCTCTTCCTCTTCTTCTTTCGATTCGAACGTAACTCAGAATACCAAATTACGATTGTTGCGGAGCGGAATGCGGGAACGTTATCGAAATGCAGAATAGGCTGAATAGTTCTTTTTTGCGTTAAGGTTAAGTTGGAAAACGTTCGGTTTGTATTCTTTCTCATATGTTATATGCAAATGTTACTTGTGATTGCAAGGATCACTAGGGGTTTTCACAACGAAGCTTGGTACTCGGGTGTTCGGTAATTTTTCCCCATGTATTCTGTTTGTTTAACACGTATTTTACACACAAAAAATATATATTAGGGAAAATTACCGAACACAGAGTTACAGAGAGCCAATGTTCGGTGTGAAGACCCCTACTGTTTATTAATTCGCAAGTCGTTTCGAATTGCAATCGTTACTAGTGTTTTACAATTTTCATATTTTTTAATTTATAAACGTTTTATTTTTGTTAACTTTGTCGATATTCTTAGAATTTACGAGTACATATGTACATACATATTCAAACTATGTATGTAGTTACATATACTTTAAATAAATAATTGTGAATTTTTCATTACCTTCATATATATATACGTATTTTTAGCAAAAGTTGATTGTTTTTCTATTTTTTGTTACAAATGATTGGGGGTAAGAAAACCTAAATTTAGCAGCAGAATGATTTAAACTATTTGTTTCGTGAAAATAGCGCTAGATCTCTTTGAGTAGCATACACAATTCGAAAGTGTATACAATTTCTTAAGCGTTCTTCAAAGCGCGTAACTGTAATTGTTGTCATTGGAAGAAAGTTAAGATTTTTTAAACACAGCCTTAAGCAGGGATCGCACGATTTGTGCATTTCTTCGGATGTGTCCCAGAGTGATGTTGTTTGGAAGTTTTTTTTTTTTAAGCTGAACTCATTCTCGATGAAGCACATTAGGTCAAATGATTCGTTTGGCAGTGCAAAAGTCCAATTTTGTAAACTCAGTTTTACATTATTTGTTGCGCAAAAAGAAACTGGTGTTGATAATATTTGCGAACGTTCCAAGGAATTCTTAAAAGAAAAAACGCATCGTATTTTGAAATTATTACTGCGCCGGCCGGTTCTACGGTTGTTGATCGCCCAAAAGCTCAATTTTGCAGCAAAAGTGAGTTTGGAAAAAGAAAAAAAAGGCAGCAGAGCTTTCAAACTCAACAAACTGTAAAATAGAGTTACTAGCACGTGCAGCAGCAACATCGGCTCGAATAAAAGAAACACGACTGTAGGTTTAAAAGAAAGCTTAACAAGCCTTTGAGGGCAAACATTCAAAATATATATTTTTCGTTTCTCCAAAATCGTATTACTTTTTGTATTAGTTACTTACTCAAGATGGAAAATAATAAAATAACTTTTGTCAAAAACCAAACCCTATTGAACAATGTTTTCGAGTACATATTACATAAACACATATATGTACGTACGTTCTTATCATTTGAATATAAAAAAAATATTAAGTGGTAAAGTCTGTTTTACGCATGTCAAGACATGTTTTACACATTTTATATACTGACTTTACACTTTCTTTAACATTTGCCATCCTTTTACATTAAAATAAAGCAATATTTTAGCTGATATTAATTTCGCACAGAAAAAGTAATCATTTGACCTAATGTGTAATGTACAAAACATGTGATCCCTGCTTAAGTATAGCAATCTGCAATCAAAATATTATGTTAGGTTCGTTTCATCCAATATTTATATAATAAGGGTGTCTTCGAGTTGCGTAATAATTACTGCAATATTGCGACCTTGCTGCTTTCTTCATGCTCTGTTGCTGAAATGCGGCAGAAATCGCGTAGTTAAAAATATTATGTTGAATTTGATTTTCTCGTGATGGGCAAAATTTAGTACCTCGAACCAGGGATCCAGAATAATAATTATTTCATGGCGGAGTGTTAAAAAAGTCATCAAAATTTATAGAATTAGAAGAATTATATAAGAATTAAAAAAGTCCTTTGATTATAATTATGCATGAGAAATTTTTTTTTAAGTCATCAATAACTATTATTTTAAGATTTATATAATTAAAGTCATGAGATAAATATTTTTAAGTCTTCAAAGGCTCTTATTTTGATACTTATAAAATTTTATTGATAAAAATTATGAGTGCGAAAAATTTGTTTAAGTCTTAAAGGACGGGGCCATTTCGGGATTATTTCAGGACTAGTTGAAGGCCCGTTCGGGACTATTTGCGAACCAGTTCGGAAACAGTTTGGAACTTGTTAGGGAGTAGTTTAGGAACATTATATATATATAGTCCTGAACTGGCCTCAAACAAAGCCCCAACTAGTCCCGAATCGGTCCCCAGTTACCCCCTAACTGGGCCCCAACTAATCCCTAAGTGGTCCAGAACAAGTTCCGTTTTTAAGACTTTAAAAATTTTTCACACTGATAATTATTATGAAAAGACTTTTATAATATAAGTCTAAAAATAAGTCTTTGAAGACTTATAATTATTATGACAAAAAACTTTTATAATATAAATCTCAAATCAAAAGTCTTTAAAGACTTAAAAATATTTATCTGTCTGATAATTATTATGAAAAGACTTTTATAATATAACTCCATGAATAATAATTACAGATGATTTGAAAAATTTGTATCTTAATATAATAATTATTGATTGATTTTTATTCTTTTTTCTTTAATAGTTATGTCTCTGCCTCGAACACAAGATGAAGGCTGAATTTTCGCATAGAACGTGATGCCCTTTCGCAAAATGTTACACTGCCGCATTTATTGTAGCTCGAATACACCTTACATTAAACATTACACGGTGTAACAAAGTCAAGAAAATTGTACGAACTTTTTGAGTGACCAAGTTTAGGTTAAAAAAATGCTTTTGGCAACTTTTTAAAACTTTCTTAACAAATATTTGAAGTTATTTTAGGGTTTTGGAAACATTTTAACTGTAGTTTTGTGACTTTTTCGGGCACGCTACTAGGTCACTCGATAAGTGTTAATTTTCACTTTTACACAGTGTCATTAAAAAGGTGTTTTACTCTAAATAAGAGAGTTCGTAAAGAAAAGTGAGAGGTAAGTGCTCTTTTTCGTTTACTGTAGTTAGTTTGACTCGCATATGAAAAATAGAAGTATATGTACTATATTTTATATTCTACAAGCACTCACGCGTTTATTTTCTTTAGTTTTAAACCTTGTTTTGTTTATTAATATTTCCATTGTGATTATTATTTATATTATTTTTTAGTTTCATTACATATATTACTAGGCCCGATATGAACTATTATAACAAGTCATGCTTGCCCGCTTTACACTTACATGTAGTAGATATTTTATTTTCTTCTCTTCTTTCCACTTGCCTAGTTACACACTTTCACTAAATGTACATAAGTATGTATGTACGAACATTATTTATTGCAATCGATTTATATGTGTATTTGCATTTTTACAATTTAATTTAAAATGTGTTGTGTCTCATAGAGTGGTTTAGCTCAGATTGTTTGTTTCTTCAATAAAGTAATTGTAACTTTTTAGGTTTCTTATTTAATAAGACTTTGTTTTATATGCTCCGGCAACATTGGCTTAACATCTACAGATTCACATACTTATTTTAACTGCGCATCCTTAACTCGTCCGTCTGCCATACAACAACAACCATCTTATCGCACACCCATTCGTATAAATCGACACATTCGTACACCATATCCATAGGCCAATCTGGAGAGGAAGTGGCACAATAGCACCTCTCTGCATTGGAGTTGTTATTCAAAAGTAGTTCGCGGAAGAGGAAGTTGAAATTTCTTTTATTTGTGCATTTTCTTTGCATTGATGTATTCACCGTCCGTCCTTTTTCGTTGTCCATTGCTTTTGTTATGTTTTGGGTCGTGTCCATTCGAAAGTGTCTTAATATTCTCCTGCATTCGGTGGCAATCTTGTTAGCGTTCTACGTTCTTTGATATGAATGTGTGTGTGCTTTTTAGGTTTTGGTTTTTTTTTTTTTCATTCAGTTTCACATTCTCCACCCACCCACCATTATCAGATTTTTCCTCAAACGTTTACACCACTTAACGATTTTGTTTGCAGTGATGCTCTTCGTCCTCTTCCCTCTCTTCATTTGTCGTCGTCGGTATTGGGGTGCCTCATGGATGATTGCCGACATTTCTTTATTATCTCTTGCTCTCCTTTTCCTGTTGGTATACGCGCTGGCTAAGTGGCTTTGTGTAGATCCAGTTATCACCAACCGGTCGGAAATGCTGTTAACCAGAAATAAGACGAAAAGGATATTGAGTTTTAGTTATTTGAAATCGTTCATGGGGGATAAATGTGTATTTGTAAGTTTGATGGACTTACCATTGATTTTTAGGAATTTTTTTTGTTGAAGGTGTCGGTCATTTTCTCCATATAAAATAATGTTTGATAATTTTTTTATATGGAAAAAATGTGCGACACATTCAACAAAAAAATTTCCCAAAAATCAATGGTAAGTCCTAGCTTCCTCATACTTGCACTTTATTATACTAAAATTGAATGGGCTAAAAAACTGCATACTCAAATTTTTTCTAGAGAGCGTAAATAAAAAATACAATATTTGAATGAAATTTTGCAGAATTTTCTTTAATTTTGCACAAGGTTTGGAACTTTTCTTTTTGGGGTTTTTGTTGTAGAATTAACCATATTTTTATAAAAAATTTGCGAAAAATAAAATATTTAAAAAATAGTTGCCCGTATTGTAAAAAATTCGCTGTACCTAAACTTTATTGACTGACTATAGTCGTGGTACGCTCGTTTTTGAGTTCATTTTGCTTGGTTTACAGTCGAATGTTACTATTCGAATGGTTGCCGCACTCGATTATTCGAATAATCGATCATTGAGTTTCAAGAGCGCTACTCTTTAGCTGGATGTTTGAAATACAGCTCGTTTTTATAAAAACGTCTAGTTAGCAATATGAAACGATTGTGGGAGAGTTTAGATTTTTCTTTTATTTTAGTTTGAATATCAACTATTTTTGGCGATCGGTTTTCTTTCAAGAACTCCAGAAAATAATAGAAATGAAATGCTATTGTCCTTACCTTGTGCTCCCACTGTATCTCTGTCTCTTTCCTGTTCTTCGCTTGGTCACGTTGAATTTGTTCCACTGCGCATTTGGCGTTTGTGGCTTTTTCGATGTCGTTAAATCTATTCGCACAAAAAAAAAAAACGGATTAATACAAAGATAGTAGAGAGAAATATAAAATTCATAAAAAATAAATTTAAGTATAGTAAGAAAGTTTTGTTTTACTTGAGTCCCGCTGTCACCTCCTTCCACACACGCCTGGATTCGTATTCTTCTTGTTCAACGATTGGTCGAACTTGTTTCTTAAATATTGGAATACGATTTACGTCTACGAATACTTCAGTTTTCTAGAAAATTAAAAATTACACAATTTTCACATTTCAGTTTCGCACTGTGAATTGGAATTTCGTTTTGCACATAACACATCTTACACATACATACATACATATGTACACATTGATATATATATATATATATATATAGAATATAGAATTTCTGTTAATTTCAATTAAAGTAAGTAAAAAAACAACAGTTATGTAGTGTCTAATGAAATATAAAACATCAAGGCAATAAAGAAAGAGCGTACAAAAAATCGCAAGAAATTTAATTTTCTAGATGAACAAAGTAGGAATAGCAACTGGCTCAAAATATTTAAGAGAGAAGTACAAGAATCGTTTATGTGTCGTTTTGTTTTGTTTTGTTTAGGGGTGGACGGAGTGGTTTGTTGAGAGCAATTGAAGGATACTGTTAGCAGAAAGTTATTGGAACTGATTTACAAACATATAGAGAAAAATTGAGGTGTTGTTAGGAAACATACATATAGCTATATAAGATTTTAGTCCGCAGTTATAGAAAAAAATTAAGAAAAATCTGATGGCAAAGTAAAATCTGCCTTTTTAAAAACATATTCTATAACCACGGACCTTTTGTGTTTTTATAAAAATTCACAAGCATACTGCAACATCAAAAACACAAACAAGCGGTTGTACACAGTTCTAAAGCGGGGAACATTACATTTTTATCATGCCATTTGGCTTCCATAAGACCGCTCCATTCTCCAGCTATTGACACGAATGGCTTCTTCTCATTGGGTGCATATATCTAAATCAAATAGAACAGATATACTAAATGTCAATACGTAAAGTTAACTTAGCTGTTTATAGTTAGTACCTCTGCAGTCACTTTATTCCGCTTGCCGCCATAAAATGGTTTTGTTAAGAATTCAATTGTAGCATGATATCCTGTCTGCGGGCAACGTATTTCCACAGTGCCACCCAATTCGATCCATGGGACGGTTAAAATAGATCTAAGAAAAAGGGGAAGGGAAACGAGTCGCCAATGAGCTATCACAATTTGCCAATTATGTGCAAGACCTTTTTACCTGCCATATCCATTTGGAAACGTTACTATATATTCCTCACTATGGTCTACCAGAGTAACAATACCTTCGCCGATGTTATGCACTCCGATGGAAAGGCCAAGAAATTTCGATTTGGTCCAAACATGCGCGGAGAAAGTAATTTTCTTATTAACATGTTCAGCATAAAAGGCGGAAACTGTAAATGTGGAGCAATAAAATATCGGTCACGAAGTCTGTTGTAATGCTAAAATCAATATTTACTCACTTGGCGGATGATGTGAAACCTGTTCCGCCAAGAACGTCAGTTGATTGCGATGACACCAGGGCACCGGCCCGTCACTAACTGCAGTCTCGTCGGGTACTTCACCTGAAACGATTGGAAAACTAATTAGTTTTTAGCCATAAAGGAGAAACAAACAAGAAAATAAGTATGTGTTAATCGAAATTTTAGCCTAAATAGTGGATAGCAAATATGTATTTATGTATTTAACTTTTCAAGGAACAAATAATAATTTAGGAGCCGAGATATATACAAGTACTACCTAGCTCGGTTGGCAGGTCACACATTTGAATTAGTTAGTTAGGATGTAAGCATTTAATATGAAAAATATACTTCCATACGAATATGAGGACATCTCACCTGGTATATCCCAATAGCATTGAAAAACTTCACCCAATATGGGATTGTAAGGTTTTTTGGCGACAGCGCTTTTTCGACCAGCGTGATAGGCACTCAAATACCAGCGACAAGTCTCAACAATACGATCACGAGGTGTTTCCATCTCGGCAATTCTGCAAATGCAAAAAAAGTTTGTTTATTACTATTCATCACTTTTATATATATATATATTTTTTTGATTTCGAAATAGTGTCTATACCTTAGGAAGAGATCCGGATGTGCAAAGTAATCGGCGTACATCTCTAGCAATGAGCGTCGTTCCAAAATGAATGTGGGCAATACGACTTTGGTCAAGTCCATGCCAATCTTCACTTGGGATATGAGATGGGAAATCATCGAACCGTGCGCTTCCATGCTGATTGTACAGTCCTCCTCCTCCTCGTACAGTGCATCGTAATCGATGGAGCCTTCCTCGCCGTAATTTTGGAATGTTGCATCGCCACTTCGTCGTGGCGCAGATGCTGCAGCAGTTGTTGATGAACCGGTTGGTAAGCTTTCCGAAACAGTAGACAGTGCTGTCTGGTAATCATCTAGTCGATCGACAATCGATGACTTTGCACTCATGTCCGCCGAGGCACTACCCTTCGGTGGAAATGTGTCCGGTGCATTTTCATTTGTAGGCGATGACGTTTCCACTGAGAAGCTACGTGTGGCACTATACACAAATATAAATGTAAAGAGGAAATGCATTATTTATTTTTATGACGAACTAATAAAAATAATAATTGTAAGGTTGGGCATATTATAATAAAAAAAAATCATCACACCCCAACAAACTCCCATCAATTATACCAACACGAATTTTCGGTCTCTTACATACTATTTGGATTAAAGACATCAATTTTTGTCGGCCCCATTGTACATAGTGCAAGTGTGTATATAGCCAATGTAGTGCAAATCCTTCATCCTTTTTAGGTCCCCCATTTAGTTTATTCTCCGAATTCGAGAATAAAGACTTCAAACCCCATTCGGTTGTTACCCATATTTTAATATTTATTTAATTACATCCCTATTGCGAGTGTCGACTAGTAGTAGATAAACGACTATAATTCGATTATCGCCTTTTCATGGTATTGTGAATGTCGATTTCTCGTTGAATAAGCGACTATGCATAGTTTTTAGTCGCTCATCCTTCTGCAGCTGTTTATTTGTAGAAGGCTGAGCGCCTATAATTTATTTACACTGACTTATTGAACGAGAAAACGACGTTCAAAATACCATGGAGAAGCGATAATCGAATAATAGTCGTTTATCTACTACCAGTCAACACTCGCAATTGGGGTGTTATGAAATAATTTGAATTAAATTTTTCAACAGGTGGCAACTCTTTTCGAAAAACTAAAACCAGTTTGCACATCTACAGACCACGCGCTTTAATTTGACATCTCATTTTTGAAAATCGGGCGAACGGTACAGATCTTTTATCCTGGCAAAATATTCCTTCGCGTATTAAATATCTGTGGTCACAAGCAATAACCGCCTAAGTCGACTTAAGAAAGAATGGAGTTGTATATGCTATCGTATTCTTCAACCACTATTCCATGCGTATGTGAAATCCCCCATTCGCCAGCTAGACTACTTAAAAAGTGATAGGCAAAAATATGTTGCTTTCCCCATAAGGAAAACATTACAATCCAAATGTTTAAAACGTTTTTTCTCGAAGTCGGGGGTTTCTCGACTTATGGGGTTATTGCTTATGACCACAGTTATATAGATAAGTAAGCTGCCAACAGCGATATTACTATGCAGGTGAAGGTGACAGAAATCTCCCTTGAGGTGTTCCTTTTACAGCAAATTTCTTAGTGGAGGCATCGTTTCTGCAGCGGTGAGGTAACTGCTTCTGGGCTAATGCTACCGAAGGCGCTTTCTATGAATAGGAAGACAGCTAAATATTACTATGTGTGTGTCGCCCCATGTTCGCGATAAAGCTGTGCAGATATGGAATCCACAAATGCGCCTTTGTTGTAGGCTTGTGGGGCAGCCGAAGATTCGGACACAATTCTTTCCATACATATGTAGGTGTCCAATATGCGAACTCGTGCGGCTTTCTTCGTTTTGGAATTCTTGGCATATATATAACACATCCGGCTATTAAAACAAATTTCAGTTTAGCGACTTTCAAGAAAATATAGACTGTGGCACATTCGTCCTTAGGTTAAAATACCTTTCATGATTTTTTTTTGGTTTTGGAATATAAAAATGTCGCCTTTAGGGACAACACCCAAACGGAAACCTTTAGATAACAAACGTTGAAAGAAGCACAATTATTTGGTAAGTAACTCTTTACGATTTCGGAGGGCAGCGCTGCTCGTTGGTCCCTAAAGGGTTAACAGTTGTTAATATAAAAAAAAAATCATAAAACCTTAAAATCAATTTATTGTGGAATTCCCCTTTAAATTGAGATATCGGCCCCAATTCAGGTCGAGCACTTTCACGGTGACGTTTAATATTCATGAAAATGTGAAACGATAAAAAGGAACTGTCGATTTATGTCACTATAAGCATCGCTTAAATCCAACAAAAAATAAAAATAGTGAAGGACGAGAACAAAAGCACGTATACAAATGCAAAAGTAAATATTCCCACACACACACAGAGATTTGTGGCGTCGTGAATTGGAAGCCCCGCACGTACCTGAAGCTGACACGTCGCACCCATTTCTTGAACATCTCTTGGCGAAACGGCGACCGACTTGTGCGTGTAAATATTTGAGAAGTAAATCGAGAAGCTTTAGATGCCTCAACAGACTGGCTAACCGACCGACTGAGCGACAGCTGACTGCCGCTGGATGGGCTTCAAGTGTCAAATGCGAGCACAGGTGGCAGGGCGACAATGCCGTCGAGATTCCTTGGAATGCGTTAACGAGGCAAAAAAACTTGCCTGGTGTGCGTGTGTGAACGGCGTCACGCATGCAAGTACTTGTCACGGCTGCGGTGTGGTGGCGGCTAAGGACGAGGAGTGTGGGCGTGTGCGTGCACGTCCAACATAATACGACTCGAAGTGCGTCCGAGTGTGTGCGTGTTTGTATGTGAATGCGTAGTGTTGCTATTTTTTTCTTAATAAATTCCGAGTCCAGCGGCGCGAATCAGTGTCGACCGGCAGGGCACTTAGCAAACGACCAAATGACACTGAGCACTGAAAATGTTTTGCATTGCATAATTTTAGGCGCCCGAACCTTTTCGCTCAATTAAATTTATTGCTTATTCAAGTAATAATGTGCATACCAAGTAATATATACGAGTACAATAAAAATATTCGAGTCAGCGCACACAAACAACAAACGGAAACATATCTATGCCGTTATGATACTGCGACGAGCAGCGCAGAGGGGCCAGCACTGTTCAGCAACGTCATCTGCGACAGATGCGTCATTTTAAGTTGAACACATGCCAAATTTCGCCGAAAACAGTCGGTATATAGTCGGTGCATATACATATAGTATACGCTGTACAATTCGAATTTTACGGTTTTGTTGTACCCGTATTTCGCTTTAAACATACACACACTAAAAAGAGCCAATTTAGGAAAACCTTCGCCTTTTTCAAAATGGAATCACTGTGTTAGGCAGAGAAAATGCACTAGTATTGAAAAACGGATCTATTCTAGATTTGCATTAAAATATTTTGAGTCGATTTTAAAAGCAAAATATGTAATTTGCGTTCGTTGTTTAAATTTTATTAAAGTAAATAGTCGGAACTTGAGCACAGCCGAGGCACTACTGACTTTCGTTTGGAATAGTTGAATCGAGTTGAGTTGGTGAGATTGTCTAAGGCAGAAAGGGTTTAGTAAACAATGAAGTTTGTATAATTTTAGGAGCCCAAAGAGAACAGAGAAGAGAAAGAACAGAGAGAAAAAGAAAAATCTTAAGAGAGAAGGATATTTGGGAATGATGAGGACGATAGAAGTACATAAACAAAAGGGTCGGTAACAACAAGAGGAAAATAAAATTGAAAAATCCTACGAAAATCCTTAGGAAATTAAGTTAAATTCATAAATTAACTTTCAACATAAATATTCATAAAAACGCTTTCTACATGACTTCGCGAATTAAACAACCGATGAAAATCTGATGAAGTGATGAAGTTTGACATTTTTAATGTACATAACGACGCCTCTAAACCATACCATGCTAAGTCACCTTAGACTTAGTCAGACTTAGCATAGTATGGTTTGGAGGTGTCGATATGTACAAGTATATAGGGGCAAATCCATTGTGAAGTAATAAGAACGAGAAGAAAAATTTGACACTATATTATTTGAAAGTTTTCCTTTAAAAATTTGCAATGCTAATGAAATTCATTTGGAAATAATTGGATATTTTTAAATGGAATTAAATTATAAAAAATGATGGAAGATTGAGATTTCTCAAAAAAGGTATAAAACTATGTTCATTTTACAGCGTATACTTAGTTTCTGTGAACAGTTGTATAAATTACTCGAACAGACCTACAACCTTTGCACGGTCGTGCATTTTTTATATTGAAGCTTCAATTTTGGTCTTAAAAAAATGGCAATGAATGCTCTAGCATGCATGTCCGCGAACGTGTTAATCTTCCGGATACCTAATTTCAGCATCTCGTGATCATCACAGATCTTTTCTTTTTGTAATCTTAAAAAAAAAAATCATCCGACGAGGAATTACACTTCGTCCAAACCCTCTAGTAATATTTTTTTTATATTTTCGAACGAAAATCAAAAAACAACTAATCAAGAGAAAATTAGTCCTGTTTGTGTTGTGAGAGAATAAGTGTTTTAAAGCGCATGTCAGTAGAACGATGCATTGGGGAAGCAAGCAAAGACAAATCTCTATTAGATATACTTATAATGCAATATTGGCAAGGATTTTGAACAGAATAGAATAAGAAACAAACCGTTAATTTTGCGTTAAAATACAGCGACACGGATAAATAAATGATAAAAGCAACAAGCAAAAACATAACATATGAATCTTTGTGGTTTTTGCTAACTGCACATAGTATACATATTAGGGATGCCAATCCCGGGATCCGAAAAATTTTAAATATCGAATTGATAGTAAGAACTTGCTTAAGAGTTTGAATTATGATTTTAGTAAACTGTCGTACACCATCAAAATGTTGAGTCAATTGCGAAAAAATGGCAAAAAATCGACATTTCATTATGAAGTAGAATAAACATGTTTTTGTATTTTTTATTTAACTTTTTTTTACTAATCATTACTATTTGTATCTAATGCCGAATTTCCACTAGGCATTGAAATGACAAAAAATATATGCCATTTAAAGTTATGTCTCAATGGAATCGCGGGATCACAATTTGCCGCATATTTTAGCATCCCTAGTATATATGCACATACATATGTATGTATATATATATACATACAGGCATTTGCAGTTTGAAATAAAAATAAAACGATCTTCCTATTGCATACGCAGTCACCGGTGCCCATAAGTGTGTGATATAGGAATTAAAAAATTAAAGACAATTTAGATAGGCGAAGCGGTTAAAATGCCGTCGCTTGGGTGTCAGCTGTGTGCTTACTTTGCCTTCAAACCACTTCTAATTGCCTACTTTACCAATTCATCTTCGACTTACCTCTTAGTTCGCTTATGCCACGTAGCGAGTGTTTAATTAAACTTGGCTAGCTAGCAATGGCAAGCCTGCGCTCAAACCTTCTGTATGCAAGTTAAACATAGTTGGATGAGCGCGACCTTGAACTTGCGGTCTACCAAAGCCAATGCCTAATGAGCGCCTACTCCAATGTCGCGACTCGCGAGCGTCTTGATTTCAAACAATGACTCTGTAAATCAAGTGAACTTTTGCAGTCAACGAACACAGTCCACTGCTTAAGAAGCATTGTATGAATATGTATATATGTATATGTACACATATGTTTATATGCATGTGCCAGGCACGGTTCCAAAGAGTGCCGACATGTTTTTTTTTTTTATTGTATTCTAATTCATTTCACTCTCCATTTCCTTCCTTTTGACTTTTTGCAATAATATGTCTGTATTACAACACTTACACGCAATTTCCCCTTACTGTAGCCGCACATTCGCCGCGCTTGGCATTATGTAAACTCATGCGAATCACTTGGTGGATGAGGTAAAATTCACATTAAGGTTTTTAATAAGAAATACTGCGTTGTCTGTCCTAAGAACGAAATATGTACCCAAAAAACAATCAACAGCAGCGCCCGAAAGATACTGCGTTGTACTCGCCGTAATAAAAATGTGAAATATTCATTCTCACTTTGTGCCTACAGAGTGCAGTGCATAGAAATCTTTTATGGGCAGCCAGCCGCCAGTCAGTCCACTCACAGAGTGCGGTTAATTATAGATGCTTACAAAAAGTAGGCAAAAAAAAAAAATGAAAATTATGAATGATACTCGACGTGTTGCAATGAGAATGTTTAGCGAATGAGATACGGTGTGGGAAATGGAAGGGTAAGCCCCGAGGCTAAAAAGTAGATTTGAGCCTGCTTGGCAGTTCACAATTTCAATTACAAGTGTATCGATTTGATTAAGGATGTCCTTACAAGGAACAAAAAAAAACGAACAATACGAAAAGGACACAAATAAAGCAGGGAAACAATTGTGAAGCGGACATTTGAATGCACGTGCGAGCACACAGCGACCCTCAAAAATAGTCCATTTCAATTCTGTAGCAATGTCCAATTTAAAAATCCAATAAATGCTTGTTGCGGTTCGTTATTTATTCAAAAGTATTAAATAAGATGATAAAGTTATGTTAATAAATATATCTCTAAACATTTAGGGAATTCTGAATCCCTTTAAGGAATCACATTGTCATCATTTTTTTTTCTCAGCCATTAACCAGGAAATATTAATTTGAAGACAATATACGATTAAAATTGAAGCAAAGGTAAAGCTTTCAATTCGTGACTAATGTAATGGTAGCACTCATAAACATGCTAGGACAAGTAGATAGTTTCAGGAGCTAAAGACCGTTCCTAAAGCATTCTTGAGAGTTGTTGTTGTAGCGGCTTGAGAGTCATTCCTTTCTCTATCATTTTTTTGTATGGAGTGGCACAAATTGAAGGGCTCCTGCTTCGCTACCCATAGAACGGTTTCCCGATGGGCTTTGGCAGGTCTTTTTTTTTTTGTTGATGAGTTCTTCTAAAGTTGCTTCTTTAATTCATACAAATTATACTTCTTTAATGTATTTATTTAAGGTTCATATCAACTTCAAGGCGAATTCCCCCAAACGCATGGATTCCTTGTTTTACTACAAAATACGACTATGGTTAAGCACAATTGTTTTATCGTTTCATCGCCGTTTCGACGGGATTGGACCAGAGGCTACAGTATCCACACCGCAGCTGGGCATGTCACCTTTCCTAACAACATGCAACATCTAGTTACATGCCACATGTGTACTGCCAGATTTGGCTGATTACACACTTTGCTTTTCACTTAGACAATTTTGCGACCAAAATTTAGCGTAGCGATTGTCAAATTGCCTATTCTGCGCGTCACCGATTTATTTTGCAATGGGAAATTCGTATTCTGAAAAATTTTTACCACTTCTTGTAAACCCAATTCTAGGTACGTTGGTAACACTATCAATATATTCAACAATTCAGCTATGAAGTTTTACAGAAATTCTGGTATTGCATATTTCACGGGGCTATATTTTGTTACCACACCTTATAAGAGTGCACAGAGAGCGAAAAGGTTAAAAATCCACAGAAACTTTATTTACCGGTTACAACAATTGTTTTGCCAGCGTAGAATGGATCTGATAACAGGGAGCTACAAAAAAATGTCATGAAATACACCCGAAACAAAACCTATTGTAGATTGTAGCTATGGTCGAGTGCAACATGAAAATAGGTTCCGTAAAGTTCCTGAACTTTCCATTTATTTCCAAAACAATCGTTATGTTCGTACTGTTTTTCATCCGACTTCAAAAACCTAACATGTTTTGACAAGAGGATTTATAGACCTTTAAAATGATGTATAATAATATATACACACATAAATAGACTAAGCAGCTTGTTGGAAGTTTTTATCGGTTAAATTTTAATAAGCCCCTATTTTTCTTAAGTTTTTCATAAAAATCGTTGTTAAGCAATTTAAGCAAAAATACGATCTCAAATTCATGTGTGTAAGTACCGGACATCACATTTTTTGAGCAGTGTGGCTAAGGAGCTCATCAATATTTACAAAAAATTTATATCTATATAATATGGCTCTTAAGCAAAAAATTTAAAAAACCGTCTTGAATAGTTTTGAAATCGGACAAAACCGAATCGGAGTTTTTTGAAATTACCGTTATATGGGTGAAGAGAGTGGTTTTTGTTCGATTTCAAACATATTTTGGGACAGTGAAATCAGAAATTAATCAAAGAAGAAACGCTTTGGAAGCGCTTCTTTCATTTTCGGCCAAAGCTTTGGCCACAGATATTATTTGATGCCTTATTCGTTAATATAAAGTGACCTGAGTGGTGCACTCTGATATGCTCCACATAATTATAAAAAACAAATTTCAAATAACTACTCGGAATAATTTTTTTTTTTTTGTCTTAAACAACAGTACAGTAAAATGTGCGTTTTTTAGGGATCTCAAATAGTTTCGTGAACTATTGGGTTACTATTTTTTTTTTCTGTCACGCAGTGGTAGTTTTGATCGTTGATGTGAAACCTTTTTTTGTAACGGCATAAAAGTTCATGTAAAACATCTTTAGTTTCGATGTGGTAAATATTGATCTGCTATTAACTCTCAAACGCAGTGAACGAAGCGAGCTAACGAACGGGCTCGTACGACGAGCACTGTATGGAAAGGTAACAAACGGCATTCACTGAGAGACTGTCACCACCTTCCTGCTATCTACCACAGAAGATGAGCTTCAATTGCCAGGAGAGACACGCGTTACTCTGGCTCAAATGCGGTCTTGATATTGTAGCAGGTTAAGCTCCTATCTAGACCGCGCCGTACCCACTGTATGACCGACAAGTGAAGGTTCCCCACATGGCACTAACTTCACATGCCCACTCAACCAAACTGAATTAACACCTCTCTTTCTCTGGGCGGCAACGACCACGATTGAGGATTCTAGGCAGGGCTACGTAGCCGCTACAACAGTAAGATCGAAAACATAGAAAATAAATTTCCAAAGTGCCCAACTAAAATTTTTCTGACTCACTATGAATAGCTTCTGGTTTAGGCCGTTAGCTATAAAGCTCTATAAAACACATAATGAAAAGGGACTTAATAAAAATCTATTATGTAATTTACTTACTAGCTAGGTGAATTTCCCATACTAGTGAACGGATCATCGTTCGCGTCGTAGAAGTCCTCTTCATCTTCGCTGCTAGAATATGAGGTTTCAGGCACATCTACAGCCAGAGGAGCTGTTGTCGCTAAAAATTTAATAGAAAGTGTGATAAAAAACTATTCTAGATAAATAAAGTTCTAGGAAACGTGAAAAAATAAATTTGTGGTATATTAGCAAACAAAGATTTTAATTAATGAAAAGAAAATTTAAAAAATGTAAGACAAAGCAAATGATAGAAAAACACTAAACCGATGAAGGACATGAAAGTGTTTATAAAAATACAATACACTATTTGTAAAATGTTGTAAGTAAATGGAACAATAAATCTCACTTTTCTCAAATGTATGACGTAACTACAAATGTATGTACAAAGCGAAAGTATTGAAGAAAAATAATTTGGAAAAGTTCTAAAGATGAAGTGGATAAGGAAGTATGTATAGAATAAAGAAATTTCTGTACCATGAAAATTTTTAAATCAAAAATAAAGCATGCGACGAAAATTTTGAAAAAAAATGCTTACTAAAACATTAAATAGTAGAAACCCACAGACGTATATATACATACATACAGACAGTTTGTCTTGGTCGATTGGGGATTCTACTCCTCTACTTACCACCAACTGGGCCGCCGCTAATGGCGATTTCGACCGCAGTGCCGTACTCAATGCCATCGGCGATAATGTCAACAATATCAATGCTGTTGGCGGTGGGGCTAGGCAGCATGCCGATGTGTTGATATTGGCGTTGATAACGGAAGTATTGTTTGGTTTTTTGTTGCTGCTGGTCAAGTTCGATGCGCTGCTGATGTTGCTTGGGTACATCATTGACAACGCGTGGCACTGTTTGCGGCAGTAAGCCTATTTAAACGCGATTTCATTATAATGCAAATACATACATACACAACCACCAATACTGCTTTATACAATACATACAATGTACATACATATATATACATAGGGATACGTAAAGACACATAGATAGTACATATCTATACCTAACGTAATAATCTCTATTACATACTATGTATGCCAAGCAACTAATTGAAACACTAAGTAGAAGTGGGAGGAGGAAATTAGCAAACAAATTAAATGGCTGTTTTTATAGAATTTCAGTTTTGAGGTCGATAGCCTGCTTTTTTATTAGTTCTCTTAATTTGCCTATGAAAAGTCGAAATAGCAAAATTGAATGCAGTGAGAATATTTGATTTGATTTTCTCCAAACAGCGACCACCTCCACCTTAAAACTTACAAGTCCAGCCAGTCGAGGCAATGCAAATTATTATTAAAAAAGTCTGCCGAATTCAACCTCTTCTAAAATTACTTCAAGCATCAGTCACATAGTAATATTTAATGCCCAGAACGCGCCAACTAACGGCTTAAAACAATCGATTTTTTTAAGCACTTTCAGAGTGGAGCAGTATTGAAAAAGTACTTTCATTACCACCACGCCTGACTGCACTTTTACTCTCAACTTATATTCCTATTTGGGTTTTTGCCGTCAACACATCGCGTTTTTTTCCCAAAACAATATATGTTTATGCGTGTGCTTTCACCTGACTTTCCTTCAATTAGAGAAGACTTGGCGAACGTAGTTGTATTTGAAAGTCTGATCACACTTTGATAGTAGAAATTATTTATTGTTCCATGGATGACAACGAAATTTAAATATTCAATGAAAATGCCGTGGCCAGTCTGATTTTAGTGTCGGAGTTTGGGTTTAGGCGTCGACCTATTTGCTCAACACAAACTTCGAATGACCACAACATATAAGCAACAAAAATTAACTATTTGCAACCTTATTCTACTGTGCCGGTACGACAGCCACGAGAGTCTGGCCGGAGTATGGCCACTCCAAAATTATTACCCAGACTATTTGAAGATTTTTATACTGTCAAAATAACTAGGTCCGGGTCATGATTCATGATTGAATTCTTCCCCTTTTTCTTCTGCTTCCAAAAACCATCCCTGTGGGTGGGAGTGCCAAATTTTAGAAAAAAGCTACTTACAAAACCTTTAATAATTGAATCATGGGTCCGGGTAGTCGTGAAACGCCAGCGGATTTGGGAAGACGTATCAAGGAAGTATGTATCTATTACACTTTTCTCATAAGCTTCAGTGAACGGTGAACAAAAGAGAAAATAGCCGGTCTAACCGGACATACAACAGAAACCAGCAAAAAATTCTTTAATTTTACGCGTTTTAATGTCGGTAATGAATAGAACAATAAAACGGAGTTTTATATAACAATATGAAGAAGCATAAACGTAAACAAACGCACACTTAATATGAGTAGTCGTTAAACCGAAAATGCCATGCGAACGTTAACATCATACTAAGCGAGATAAAGCCAAAAGTAAAACTAAACAAAGCGAATTGGAAATTACTCGAAAGACTTCAAATGGAGAAAGGGGAATTGACAAAATCCACCAAACAAAGGAAGTGAATAATAAAGGATGAAATAAGCAGGCATGTAGGTGGGTGGGTGGGTGAGTAGCTTTGTGACAGTTCCAAAGGAAATGGAAACGGAAATCAAAACACCGATAAAATTTGCTGGCAAAAAGTACTAAAATGGAAGCGACGACTGAAAATTATTGCATACAAGAAAAAGGCAAACAGATGGCTCTAAAACAAAACAAAAACAAAATTAAGCAGTGCGATGACAATCCAAAATATGTACATATAAATGTATGGCAAAATGAAGACGAAGCAAATCAAGCATAAGCGAAAGCAGGAATGAAAAAATGTAAACATACCATTCTCCGTAGTGGAATCCTCCTCCTCCTCCTCGCCCCCGCTCACATCCAGTTTTGCGCCCGTCACCGGATCTATGCCGCTCGTGAGTAGCGTTTTGCCTGCCGCTGCGGCTATCATAGCGCCCCCAGAAGTTGTGCCTGCAGTATGCATGCTCGTCGGAGTGGCAGCGGCACTGTTGCTGCGGGTGGTCGCAGTTATGGGCCCATTGTAGATGCCATTAATTGGATGAGCCATATTTTTGGCAATTTGTAGACTTACAATGGAGTGCTTGATATGATCCAACATGGCCTGCGTGTTGAGTTACAAGCATGTAAAAAAAGAAAGGAAACAATATTTAATGAAAATGAAGACAAAAGCAAAATGTGGTAAAAACACAACTGTTGGAATAACAAGAATAACAAATGATATGGAAGAAAATAAACACGCAAGTATGTATGTATGTATGCGTGTAGGTGCGAAATTTTGGATTCCAACAAATAGCTAGAGGAGTAGTACCTTAGAACTTAATGACGCGATGTACATACATTCGTATAGGTACATACATACATACATGGACTCCTGAATTAGAAATTATTGGATATGCAAATGGGACAAAAAAAAAATCTAAAAAATTAACCGTAATTTTTAGCCATTTGAAACTTGTACTTTGTTCTACTAGAATTCAAATTTTATAAAATTTTTAAGTTATGAGCTCTTTTTTTTTTCTCTGAAAAATACCTGAAGTTCGGATTGAAATGTAAAATATGTAGCTTAGCTTTTGTGTTATTAAGGTGAAGCGCTATTTCTTGCATTTTTGGTTAGACAGGGAAAATTTCAGTATCGTCACTCTAGCAATTTTACGAGGAAAAAATTAAGGGAAATTATTAGTACACTTTTGTCTACGCCTTTACTATAAACGATCGTTACAACTTATTGTAATAATATACTAATTGAATTGAATTAAAACAAAAAGGAGAAACAAGTTCCGATGGTAAACAAAAAATGTTTACTTTCTAACATCGTGGTTCCTCAACATTTCCGTCTTTTTTTAGCGCGTCAATTGAGGAGACACGCAAAGGACGAGCCCATGCAATTTTACGCGAGTCAAAGTGGAAAACAAAAAAAAAAAAAAAAATTAAAGTGTGAATGCGCACAAAAGTCCAACCGACAAAAGCAACAAACAACAGCGAACCCGCGCCGAGAATCAGTTAGTGGTCCATGCATAGACTGTGGTGACTAGTCGGGCGTGCGCGAACAGCAACAGCTTTCATAATAGACAACAAAGCAGAAATGCGAACAGTGACATACACCACCCGCAAACAAATGTATGTATGTATGTATGTATATATTTACGCATAATACAACTCCTGCTGTTACTCACACTGGCGTTGTCCTGTAGCGCTTTGCATTTGACTTTTTCCTCAGCATCCGTTATTTCCTCAATGCGTTTGTCGATTTTCTGCAACATAAAAATATGCATTTATTAAATTTTGTCCGATAAAACTAATTTTTCGTTCTGATTCTAAGTTGATTTTTTTTTACTCACATTAGTCTGCTCGATGATTAACTGCAAATAGGCGTCCGCTTCAGATACACGTCGACCCAGTAATTCCAAGTGGTTGGCACGTTTGTTGCCTATCACATCCTTCTGATAGCCGCCAAGGTAAAAAGTGCTCTGATTGTCCCACAGCCGAGTGCGATTCGCATGCCGTCGTATGGTGTCCTCTAGTCGTCTAACCCACTTCTCGCGTTCCTCGCTGTGTTGCGCCTGTTGGTCATTTTTTTTTTTTTGAGTAGGTGTGGTGGAGTGCGTGTTTTTTTTGTTTTTAGGAAGATAGGGAGAGGATAGAGAGCGAAAAAGTGAGAATTATTATTTTAAAATGCAGATAACTCGATATAAGTATTCAAATTGGTGTTTAACTCATTTTCGCAAGATTTTTCATTTTTAGTTTGCATTGTGAATGAAAAAAATGTAAACTTTAACAGGGAAAAAAATTTAAAAATAAAAGATTTTTTGTAAATTCTTTTTTTGCTATCAACGAAGAAAATTAATTGATAAAAAGCCATATGAAAATGCTTAATAATTTCTTTACAAAATGTTTCCATCCAAATTTATGATTTCATTATTAGTTCATACATGGCGTATGAGTAACTTTCTTTCCTATTTAGTCATCTATACATAGTATAAAAGAAAGTTGAGATTATTTGTACGCGGCAATCCAGTAAACTACTAAACGGATTTTGACCAGATTTTCTCTAATATGTTCTATATCGATAGCAGTGTGACCTTTTTTATTTAGAATTTCATTAGGGTTGCCACCTGTCTAAAAAACTATAAGATCCGCACCATTCGTTGGATTTAAAAAATGAGGTGTCAAATGAAAGCGATTGGTCTCTAAAAAATCACTAATGTCTTATTTTTTGGATAGGGTTATGAAAATCACTATTATTAATCCTAATAAGCGTAGGCGACAGTTCTGCGCCGTCACTGTCAAATGAAAATACTTAGCCTCTTACGGCAAATTGTGCAAGAAGCGTTTGACCGAAAACATCTGCAACATAAATAGGCCCCACCGGTCAAATTTTCGCATAACAGACAGAAAGATTCAATGTGCGAGAGGGATACAAAGTTGCACAAAGAGGTAACAATGACTGCGTGTCGAACTACTTCCACCACGGCCTCGTTGCCACAGATTAAAAGCGGCTCAATAAAGGCAAAAGGTTAAGTTCGCCTTAAATAAAGTAAATTTTCATTTATTTATGACGAAAGTGCTGGGGTAAGTGGCAAAAATGCTTAGTTCTATAAGTTTGGCATTGCGAAAACGCCACTGTAAAATACATATAATACAATACTTAAAAAAAGAGTACAAATGTTATGTTTTTATTTTAAAACAGTAAATATGCATAACTATGAATTTAAAATAATAAGATTTTAACTTTTGCTACGATTTTAATTTTTTTTACGATTCTGCTAACGAGACCATTTTTTTTGCAAAAATGTTTCTGCTTACATAACTAGTATACATATATTATAAAATCGGTTTATAAATAAGTTAGATATAGGACTTTTAGTTTTTATATTTTTTTGCGGTAGACCTTCCACTGGAAACCACCGTATATATCTAAATACTGAAGTAAAAAACTTATTAATTTCGAGCCTAAATTTTGGGATAAAATAACTTCAGTAATTAAACGATGCTAAATATTATATACTAAAGTAAGGATATTTAATGGAGACTAAGTGCCTTCCTAAGTCTCACATGAATACAACACATTTCCGAATCAAATAAAACTGTGTAGATATTTTTAATTTTGTAACATATGGCAAAATTTTACCGATATACAGTTATGTATTTTTTGGGGGTTGTTAGGCTTTGATAATAGATACCTATTTAAAATAAAATGCTTCGGAATTTTCTCGTTTTTCCAGGCTTTTGAAGATTCCTTGTGTTGAAATTATATGCATTCTTTTCTTTCTTGAGAATTATTGCGAACAAGAGGATTGGCAAACTGATAAGACCCACGAAATATTGCAGTAAGAGTAGGAATTAAGGCCTATGCCTTCTTACGGACCAAAGACATTTTATCTCTATATTTATTCACATCTCTCACCTGAAAATGGAATGTTTTGTGATCCACAGTTATCGTGAACGTATTGTCCTCTTGATCGTCTATACCGATAACTGCGTCCTTGAGTCGCACACAACCGCGGCGTACGCCTTTCATCATTTTCTCCTTCGACTACGAATGCAAATCAATTGAATAGAAAGAAGATTAGAAACAGGATGTGTGTATGCATGTATAAAAATAAAGAAAATTCTGAAAAAATTCTGCAAGAAATTCTTCACAATTCTTTATCGATTTTCTTCCGAAATTTCGTAAATGAAGCGAAGTGTGCACGGTTTTTTTTTATTTTAGAAAATTCGCCAAAAAATCGGATGGGATCTTAACGAATTCTGTAAAATTTTTCTATAATTCACAATGCTCTGAAAAAAGGGTTTGCAGGATATATACTACATATACATTTATATATTATGTAAATTCAAAACTCAAAAGCTGCTTTTCTCGAGTTTTTTTTTTTTGAGTTATGACAGTATTGAAGTAAATGAGCGATATGTGATATGTAAACAAACACTAAAGAGCTGCACCTAAAGAAATGAATGGCCAAAAGTATTTAATTGTATTTTTAAGAATTTTCTATTAAAATACCGTTCATTCTCTAACAAAACCCATATACACTCAAGTTTAAAACTTTGTAGCAAACTACAAAAAAATGCCACTTGAAACTTGCACATTGGGCCGTATGCATAAAAACTAAGCAATTGCCTTTTCTTAACATTTCATGCATTTCACTTAAATTTATTTGAACAAATTGAGTTAAAGGTCTAAAATTTTAAGAGAAAGCATTTGCTTAGGTTTTACGCATAAGACTAAAACTGAATGGTCTAATAAACTGTGTACTCAAAAAAATTCTAACACTTCTGGGAAAAAAGTTTAAAATTTGGCTGAAAATTTGTTGAACTTTTTTTGTAGTCTTTTATAAAGTTTTAAACTTGGGTTTATATGGGGTTTTGTTAGAGAATGAACTGCATTTTAATTGAAAATTCTTAAAAATGCATAATTAAAAACAATTGGCAAACAATTGTACTTTGAAATGGTGGTGTTATAGATATGGCCAACATAGATATGGTCGACAACAAACACGTGAAAATGTGCCACACAACAAAAGTAAACAAAATTGATTTCAAGAGCAGTTTAAAATTGCGCAAACACTAAATCGATGCTGGCATGGACCAATTGCTGCGTTAATCGGACGTACATATGTACACAGGTTTATGCAGAATATTTAAGTATGTGTGTGCACATACATACATATTGTCGATGCCTTTGCAAAACCGCCCATCGACCAGTTGCAAAACCACCTAAAATGCCGTTGTTGCAAAAATGAGATTTGCTAACCCTGAAATCCAGGCATCGAGATTTATGCACAAAAATCGTAAAATCGTTATTAAAACAACAGATTTATGAAATAATAGCTAAAAATTGTTCGCTCTCTTGTAAAATTTGAGTGCCGTTAAGGCGCACGATGCAGCAAAACAAAGGTGACGCCTTCCGCGGACTGCTATTCCCTCTTTGTCGACTTCAGATGCCGCTTTTAGATCGAAGATCGATTAATCGAGCCCTTCCGATTCGATTTTTTTTTGTTCCGATTCGATCCGTAAATCGATTCAAAAAATTTGAGAATCGACATTCCTTAAGTAGGGTTAATGATGCATTTCCACTAAACATTAAATGACAATGTTGGGCATTACGTTCATAAAAGTAGCCATTGGTGCGATTCATAAAACATCGCAGTGGCATTTTTGGTGAAATGCCAATTTTGCGAACAATATTGTATGAACGACCTATCGCAACTCCGGATTGCAATAAGTGAAAAAGAAACGTTTCCTGCATTACATTGCTATGCATACACTTTTTATTTATTTTTTATTTATTTTTTTTTTCAAAATACATATTTACGATTTGTTAGCTCTTTGTTGGTTTTTGAATAAACCTGGATATTGAAATCGTTACGAAAAATGTACATATGTACGATTTATTTTTTGCAGATTTCTTCCAGCATCGATTATTTTTATTTCGATTCAAAAATCGATTTTTATTTATTTCCATTTGGCACCTCTATTAACGATTTGACAGCCTCCACCTGTTGAAACGATTCAGTTTTTTATCGTTTAGGTAATTATCAAAATAATTATAGTTTGGTTTTTAACGAAAAGTAATTCAATCGTTAATGCTGAAACTGTAGCATGCATTTAGGTGCTAGGTGTTAATAGTTGGATTTATTTCGTTTGAACATTAACGATTGAGTTTTGTTTCAACTCTGATAGGAAACGAAATTATTTTGATACGTTATTTTTGCGCACCAACAAAACGAAATCGATTCATATAGTTTGTTGAGCATCTCTGGCCTACCTACCTCTTCCTGCGGTGCCATATCTATGTACTTTCGGACTTACATCAACAACGTATGCCAACATGCATCTCAAAAACATCAAACAGATTGAGTTTGTGCTTTAGCTTTTTACCCAACTTCCAGAAAAGGTTATCAGTTCGTCGGAATATTTTTTTTTTGTTTTTTTATGTATGTTACCGCATAAATTTGGACCACGTCAACCGATTTCGATAATTCTTTTTGCATCGGAAAGGTAGTGTCTCGGAGGTACTAATCTGGTTTAGATCCGATCATTGCATCATGAAATATATATATACATATATATATGAGAAATTTCGATAGTCCCATAAATTTTTATAGCCCGACAACCATCCGTAAGTTTCGACAATTTGATTAATTCGATGCTTTGCGATAATTTAATAAGAATGGATAACTCGATAAATTTCGATAACTATAAACTTCGATTATTACATAAATTTCGATAACTTGATAACTTTCGATAACTAAATTTTTCGAAAAATTTTAATAAAATATCTTACCCTTTCAGTTACCCTAATTCTTACGGATTTCCCATTGTTTACATTTTCGCCTTTATCTTCAACTTTGCCTTCACTTTTTTGTCTTAACGGTCTTTATCATGTATTTCTTCATCACCACATTTATCTTCAAAATTTAATTTCAAATACGAAGTAAAATAAAATGCGAAAACGAGTCAAATTGAACAGGTTGCAACAACAACTATACACAATTTCAAAGACATACAATTGGAAAATCTTTAGAGGTAGATGTCGCCCTGCCAGAAGAAGTTAAATATTGCGCCTAAAAATATGCACTACTGTAGTGTATACAGCGGAAATGGACGATACGCCATTTCTTTAAATGAAATTAATTGCTGCTATATGTATGTATGTACATATCGTCGCCTGGGTAAAAGATTGACGTAAGCGCCATTTTGACGACTTTTAGTTCTAGATGCAGTTATATATCTTGAAATAAGGTCTTTCGATTGGTGTTATCAGTTTTTAGACTCCTTTAAGTTTCCGAGATATTGACTACAATTTTTACGATAATTTAGTAAAAATTTACTTAGTGATGCAGCCATATTAATCTAATCAATATCTTAAAAATGACGTTCTCCATTTTTGGATATCCCCTTTAGTTTCCGAGATATTGTTTAAAAAGTGTAGTAAATTTAGTAGAAATTTTGATCACATTTTGTTATATTTCATACAAAGTGGCTGCTAAATTGTGGACAAATGACGATTACGACATAATTTTACTAAAGAAAATCCTTCATAAACTCAAAACTAATTAAACATTCAAAATTAACTGCAAAGTTTAGTTATTATTTGTGCCTGAGAAAACATCCATATCTACAATATTAACTAGTAGATTTTGGTAACTAAAGTAAGATAAATATGAAATGTTTATTTCAATATTATTAATATTTCTGGAAAAAAACGCATCAATGGTAGCGGCTCCTTTGGTTGTTGGATCATTTCTACCATTAACCATTTCCAGTGAAAATTTTTCTTTAAAACATTTTGCCAGTTCATCAGATTTGGCCAGCGAAAAGTTGCCGTTGAAATCTTCTGTGAGAATTATAGGCCGATCACAACTACTACTTATCTTTATCTTCATCTTTATCATTCACCTCCTTTTTCATCTTGATCTTGATCTTGATCTTTAACTTTATCTTCATTTTCATTTTCATCTTCATCTTCATCTTCATCTTCATCTTCATCTTCATCTTCATCTTCATCTTCGTTTTCATCTTCATCTTCATCTTCGTTTTCATCTTCATCTTGATCTTGATCTTGATTTTGATCTTGATCTTGATTTTGATCTTGATTTTGATCTTGATCTTGATCTTGACGTTTCGTTTTCGATCTCATAAATTGTTTATAATGACTTTTGCTAAAATTTCAAAATAAAAAGTTATCGAAACAAATTCTATGGGACTGAGATATATTATATTACAATTTTTAGTCCATTTATAAAAGCGCGGTATATTTAAAAGTTTTTTTCTTTATTTTATGTATTTATAATGTATTAAATAAACGGACCACTATAACTGATTGCTCATTTTAGTTCTCGGTCCTGGTTGACCATTCTGTGGAAATGCTCATACATATGTACATACTCGTATTTCGATATTACAAGTAAATATGTCACCGCCTTCGGAACGAAAGAAGTCCATGGTTTCCAGACTTACCCTATTGCATAATTAATCAACTTCTATGGGCGGGGATTAGAAGGTGGAATCTATCCACCCTATCTACGCAACTGAATATCTTAAAAATTGCCAGTGTTGCCGCGAATCATTTTTAGTGGTAGCCAAATTCCCTTTTAAACAAGGCCTAAAAAAGAGCTAAAAAAAGTCGTTGTGGTACAATATATATTTCTTTACAAATAAGGTCCAGGAATGATTTTTATTCACAACTGCAATATCGTGAAATTTAATCTTCCACAAACACGGCTTTGATTGATATAGTGCAAGAAATTTCTGACACAATACTTTTTACTAAGAAAAATTAGCTAATTTCACCATTCACGACACCAGCATTTAAGGGCCGTAAACTTATATATGTATTTTAAACTATAGTAAAATCCTTAATAGATAAGTTAACGGCCCTAACACTTTTATAGTATGTATGTATAAAAACGTAAGGAACATACAATACATATATGTATACATATATACATTAGTTTAAAAATTCTTCTCTTACTTAAAAAATAAAATAAAAAATAGATCAAATTAAGCACAACTTTTTCATGCCATGGATGA